TATTTTTTGCAGGCTGGCATCTGGGCTCCTGGCCCACAGGAACTTTTAATAAGCTTCGAATGGTTCTGAAGTTTGGTCGGTATAAATATGCCTTACATATATATGTATACATATATATTGATAACAACTTTTGCTGCGACATTGAACCAGTGCCTGCTTTGATCAGTGAAAGGTAAGAAATTATCAGATCCCCACATCTTACAATTTGGAAATGGAGCATGTGAACCCGGCCTGCAGCTGTTTAAATTGCTAAAGACGTACTTTTATCAAAGTGGCCACATCCCCGTAATCCTGTCTAGTGTCTTCATGTGCAGAGCTCATTGAGCTCCGGCGCATTTTTTCGTTTTGTCGGCAAAACGTCCCACCTAGAGCTATGGAGCTTGCTGACCCCTGACAATCGTTATATGCGAATCCATAGCGGATTTATTTCTGAACTTGTTGTATGATGTTGCATTTCCATTGTAAGATCATTTATGTAACAGTATCTTGGGAACGAATTGACCAATCTAACTGATTCAGGCCAAGAGAGATATTCCTGGATCGCGCAACACTTGCGCATGTGGATCAGTGAACCTGGCGCTGTTCATGACACCGCAACAGGTCGGTGGACGCACATTTGCGAAGCCTATTGTCAGCTCACATCCACTCACATCTCGAACAGCGAAACGCCAGTTCTGAAATAATAGTTTAGAGGCTAAATGATTCGGAAAAGTTTAAAAGTGAAGTGAAATATTAAGCTCTATGAAACATTGAGAAATGTGTTATAATATTGAGGTGTGACAGAGACATATTTTTTGGGTACGGGTCAAACGTTGTTTGTTAACGCATATACAATAGCGTTTCAGGCCAGGCCACATAAAAAACTGGACGCAATTTTCAAGACGTGTATCTGCGTGTTTTTCCTAAATTGGGTATTACTATTCAATAAGGATTATGCATCTCTGTACACCTCCTATACCTGCATGAAATATAAATAGTTATTGTAATAACAAGGAGTAGTAAACTTAGTCATGAAAGGTATTTATGATTTAAAAAGATCTTAGATCATTGATCATGGAGTTAAGCGTCATTAAATCCGTACTTGATGACTGAATTAAACTGAGCTCCATCCTCAGTGAGAGTGCGTATGTCGTGGCTTAATTGTATCCAGCAGTGATCGGTGCATAAAATCCGTCTTGTGCGACTCCGCATTCTTAAATTGGAAGCCATTGCATTCTGCAGTAAATCAGCGTGTTTATCATGACACAAAGATTTAATTGAATAATGTTTTGTTTCGCGCCGTGGCTTGTCTGCAGCCTTGAATCATCATTCATAGACACATAAAGCAGCTTGTAAAAGCATAAGTCGCTTTCGGTTTTTCAGTGTGTGACGTCAAATTAATGTTATTTAGACTGCCACAAATTTGACTTAGCGTACGATGAGCTCGCAAATTAAATTGTGAATCACCAGGAGCCCAGATCTCAATGATATATGCACGAACAATAGCTGAACTCAAGAACACAGTCTGGCATGAAAGTTGGCATGTTTCATTACAAAATTAACCCACAAAACGCATCCACAACACCTCGGTTTCTCTTGACCTGCGTGCGTGGAGACGATGACATGACTATGAGTTTTTGCGCAGTGCGACGAAACGCCTTCAGTCTGGTTTTCACCGTAGCTGGCCGCACCCACCCATTGGGGTCACGGAGGACGTTCTGCAGGAGCTGGAGGATCCACATGCGCCTGGCGTGCTCGTCAGCTGTAACGGCCGCGTCTCCATCTTCCAGACAGTCGCTTTTCTGTCGCCATTTTGCGCGAGCGGTCAGACAGGACAGGTATTCTCTCACCCAGCGGACCGTGAGTGGTCAGCTAAATCCTGGGCCGCCTGCCATTGGCTTGCCAGCTTTGGCCTTGAGAGCTGCTGGCTTACACGCGCTTGGAGCTGCGTGACCGTTCCAGACAGAAAGTGATGCGAGGTTCAAGTGATGCGAAATAAAAGTGGGGCGGAGTTAAAGTGATACGGAATTGAAGTGGCGCGGAGTTAAATTGTTACGGAGTTAGAATGGAACGGAGTTTAAGTGGCACGGAGTTAAAGTGGTACGGTTTAAATTCATAGGGAGCTTGAGTGTTACGAAGATGAAGTGGCACAGAGTTAAAGATTTTTCGTCACCTGAGTCCACAGATAACTCGACCAGATGTATGAAGTTCATCATTTTTTTTTCACCTCCGACGGCATCGTCACGTTGTACTTCGGAGCGCGGCGGTAAAGCAGGCTGCACATTGCTTCATAAGCGGTAGGAGATTGCACTCCGGTCTAGGGCCTGCTTGCGGATCTGTCGGAATATTACAAGACTATTTCATGCCACTGAGAGCAAGCTTTCGGGTGATCCCATCTTTGTCTAGCCGTGCACACAGCTTGTTCAGTTTGTGGCTGACTACGATAAAGTTGCGACCGGTGTCGGATTTTTTTTTGGGGGGGGGGGGAGCGCGCGGCTTCTTTTGTTTTGAAGGCGGCTGATTGCCGTCCCGGTGCGTCGGTGCTCGGACTGTCTGTGGTTTTCAAATACACAGACAAGCTTTGTCACCAAGCATCTGAAGATAATGGCACTGACCGTTTGCGTCTCCCGACCTAGTGTCGCACGAATTAATCCAAAAACGTCGACTGTCGTTGAGAAGGCCCAGGAAAGCAGTGGGTGGACAGCGGCGCCTGGTGCTGGATATCGACCTAATATTCCCCACGCTGTAGTGTAAGCAGCTAGAAACAATACATCAGAGTGCTGGCAAGTTTGGGAACCCAGGAACGCTGTCGCAGCGATGTGCGCCCCCGCGTGCGTCCGGTGGCGCCATCTGTTAGTGCAGGCGCAGCATGAGAAGGTGAGAGTGCCTGCGATTGATCGACAGAGCAAGTAGATGGCGAGAAGTGACGCACTCGTCATGACAACGCCAGATGCGCGGGTCGCAGGCATTGATCCCGTCCATCAGCAGCGGACACAGGTCTTTCAGTGCACTCCTTGAGTGCAGTCTCCCAGGTTGTCTAAGCTTACACAGTTTGCGCTTGAATCTTCCGCTTGAGCTGAACGAAGCCAACGGTTCTCTGCTGCCGCTGTTTGTTCTGTAGATGGCTTATTTCTCTGTCTGTCTCCACATATCGAGCCGTCGTGTCACCGTGAAGAAGCACGCACAGCGACGGTCAAGCCGGAGAAGCGTCGAGACGTCTGCTGTCCAGCACGGCGGCGCAAATACCGGTGCTGTTGTCTTCTTCAGCGCTCGTCGCCCTGCCCCCTTCAGGAGCATTCGGCAGCTCTTGTGTCCGATGTCGATGTCCTCAGGCCCGCTGCCGTCGGGCTCCAGGGGGACGCCTGTCCTGCGGAGCCAGCGGCTGCCTGCGCCCCGTCCAGGGCCGCCTTCTTAGCGGATGACACATGTCGCCATTGGTCTGGCTTCTGAGAGTCGCGTTTTTATATTATTTTTTCTTCCGGGCTTCATGTTGCTGACGGACGTATTCAGGCCGTCGTCATCCGCTTTGATACAGGCGGACACGGTCTGAGAATCGCTTCAATGCACGAGTCTCTTTATCGCGACTTGAACATCATTCAGCGCAGTTGCATGTGGAAGCACGACAAAGACTGCCGACTGTAGTTCAAGTAGCGGTAGGTCTGATGTGTGGTGAGCGATGCACACATTCGTGTCATGGCAAAGCAGCTCGTATCAATGCCATCTTGCACGGATGGAATAATTGTTTGGACTACCGGTCTCGTCTGATGTATTAGTGCGCATTTAACCTTATGGTGATTTCTCCCCTTTTTCTTGGTATGAAAACATTTATTGCACACGAAAGGCTGGTATGCACACAGGCAGTCTATTGCATACACCTATCTTTCGGGACAATGTATCGGTACAAAACAGAGTGAAGAAAATACATTTGCAAAGCAAAGAAAGCAAAGAAACATCTGCACGGTACTGGCAGCCTGTGTATGACATGCATATATGCATTTGTGTTTTTGTGTGTGTGTGTGTGTGTGTGTGTGTGTGTGTGTGTGTGTGTGTGTGTGTGTGTGTGTGTGTGTGTGTGTGTGTGTGTGTGTGTGTGTGTGTGTGTGTGTGTGTTTGTGTGTGTGTGTGTGTGTGTGTGTGTGTGTGTGTGTGCGCGCGTGTATGTGTGTGTCGGTCTGTGAGATAGACACATTACACCGACATCGCATCCCAGTGACAAATCCAGAGAAGAGGTGGGGGCGGGGGGGGGGCACAGTGCCATGTTCTTCCCCCTCTTTTGTCCCCAAGGGATCCTTAAACTCCAAATGAGCCATACCCGCCCGTACTGACAGTTTTTTCACGAAAAAAAATGGAGGTTTGCGGGCCTGCAAAGGACCAGGATGGGCTGCAAGCAAACTGAAAGGCCCCTAAACAGACAAAGATATCTCTTCGCTGATTGAGAGGGTAGAGGTTGGAGGAATTTTTCTAAAAGCATATTTACAGAAAGTATATTTCTGGCGCCACGAATAGTAAACACAAGGGTCTTGAAATTTAATGGTCAAAATCTAAAGACTTTTTCAGGAGGCCCGATCCGCAGGGGGGGGGGGGGGGGGCACAGTGTTGCGTGACCATCCCATAACGAAATCTTAACAGAATCCTGGGTCGGCCACTGGTTCATCCTCACTCTTGGGATGAGCGCAGCTCAAAATATTGAGCACCGCCAATAGAATCGTTGTTTAGCATTACTACGCTTCCTGTGTATTACCTTATGCATAATGCCTCATGGTATATTGAAGGTCGCTTGCTAGCATAAGAACTTTGAATTCAAAATGCCTTAGAACCAGAAGCTGAAGACCTCTGCTATGAAACTCAAAATGGCAGTGCCAAGATCAATAGCATCATGAATAAGTGGTGCTTACGTCAGTAAGGTAAAGTGTAACAAATTTGTATTTTAGTGGTGTCATTCATGACGCACGACGCCTACAAGCGACGCACAAGCCGGACAAACGGCGGCGCTCTCGGCGCAATACCGTTTCCCACTGAACGGTGATTCAGATTAGGCGGCTGCGTTCGCTTTCGCGTCGGAACCTGCTATTGGGTTGGAACGGGGTCGTGAGGCACAGCGGTGGGGTGGGTTTCTCCAAGGAGTGGACGGCGTGCTGTGAGGGTTAATAAGGTATGTACTATCCAACCAATGAACATCTAAGAATGTCAGGCATGGAGCGAGTTCACATAATGTTGCAAGGAGCGGATGCATTAGGTTTTTAATAGTGTTTTGCTCTATGCACTCTTGCAGTATTGGTTTTGCTTTACGTGCATGCACTGAGAAAACCACGCGGCCGAAATGTCTATATTTTCTGGGGTAGTTCAATTTAATATGAGCATGAGGTTTTCTCATTTATGTACATTGCCATCCTGCTCATCCTATTAGTGTAACCTAACCTTTGTTTGGGTCAAATTCAGTTTAGATTGGTTTTCAATGTGTTGCAATGGTGGGTTTAGCCATCTGTTTTCTGTGTAGCCCATGTATTCCCTTTGAGACCATGCTCCAGATTTACACTACATAGGCTGCAATATTTTCTTTAAATCCACACCACACCATGTTAAACCTGACACTCTTGTGTTTTCCTGCAATGTCAGCAAGCATAGTAGCTGGCATCATGCCTCAAAAATCTAATCTCTCTAGGTTGCCCCTCCAAGGGGTGTATGGGGAAAGTGGTCAGACCTTTGGGTAAACCAGCAAGCTGTTTATAAGGCAAAATAGTACTTTTAGTCAGCCAATGTATGTTCCCAATATTATTATTTTGTCATGGCAGGTGTGATATTATTGTGCTGGTCATTCAGGGTGCCATCAGCAAGCTTTTTAGATAAAAAGGCACAAGAAGTGCACATACTTCTTCTGTCCCAAGTCTTGGTGACTAAGCTATTTTGTCACTGACAACACAGGAACTTCTCATATACTCATTTACCAGGGGGGGAGGGGCAAAATGGTTTGGTTAACTGTGACAAGGCTTGTTTGATCCCCAGAAGCATAAATATTTATGTTTTCATGTTGTTTTTGAAAGGTGGATCATGACTTGCTCACTATGTTTGGAAAAGGTGTTTGAAAAGGCAGTGCTGAAATTACCAAACCTGTTTGCTTAACTGATCATTGTGTTTGCCTGTTCTAGAGACATCAGCATCTATGCTTGCAAAACATTGCCTATGTGGATGGTAATCAAATAAACAGGTAGTTCTAATTACAGGGTAACTGTCCCTGTCTGGTGCCAGGTGGTGCAAAGGCATGTTTGGGATTCAACTTGGCGCAATGACAGGCTACTTGCGATGTAGGCTGTGATCCTTGGAATTTGAAACCTTGCATGTGAATTTGGTAGATATTTTGGTGGCATGCCTCTGATTCCTTTAAGTTTTGTTATTCTCACAGTTATGATGTAGCCCTTGTAAGATGCAGGTAGACTGCCACCATATGTTATTGTGGCAATATTGCAGACCTGTTTGAAATTTATTTTGAACTGTGTTTTCAAAGATGCAAACCACATGAGGTAGTAACTGCTGTCATTTCATATTTTAAATCAAAATGGTATGGCTTACATGGCATGTTTTGAGAATGGTTTAATCTAATCCAGGTTCTCAGGTAGTCATTTTTGGCAAAGTTGGTGGCAGTGCATTAATTTCAAGTAGACCTTCTAATTTGGCCAGGCCAAGTAAAACACGTGCCTTTTAAGGGTCCAGAATGTTGGAAAGCGAGATCCACCTAACCTTGATTCATTTTGGACAAGCAAGCTGGCACATCCAGATTTCATTGCTGGTTACCTCTGTATGCATAGTTATGCTTGACATTGTAAATGCATCAGACATGCTCTGACTTACCTGACTTACAAGCAAAACATGCTCTGACGTACCTGACTTACGAGCAAAACATGCTCTGACTTACCTGACTCACAAGCAAAACATGCTCTCACTTACCTGACTTACAAGTAAAGCATGTTCTGGCTTACCTGACTTACAAGTAAAACATGCTCTGACTTACATGGCTTACAAGCAAAACATGCTGTGACCTACCTGACTTACAAGCAAAACATGCCCTGACTTGCCTGATATACAAGCAAAACATGCTCTGACTTACCCAACTTACAAACAAACCATGCTCTGGGTTATGTACTGAAGAAGCAGAACTGGTTATTTTGATTGGTTCAACCATATCTGACATGGTATTGATTATGAGCATCAAATATCATTTTCACAGTACTTTTCCTTGTTTTACATCAATATCAGCCAATTGGAAGTGGTGGCACCCTATGAAGTGGACCAGCTACAGAGCCCCACTATCATGGATGTCCTCACCTGTGTGGAATCCAGTCACATTTGTCCCAAGCCTCCCATCTTGCTCAGAGCTCCATCAGTGGCATTGATGCCTCACCAGTCTTGTCAGAACTCTATCACCACTGCTACATGTCACCATGTGATGCAAGTTCCGCCCTGTGGTCATGTTTCCTCCCACTTGGAGCCCTATCTGCTCAGAGCCTGGTCACTGTACTTCTTCACATACTCAGAGCCCAGCCCCCATCACTGTGCTGTCTTATCTGCTCAGACATTCATCTCCTAAGCGCACCACTAGTGTCATGACATGTCCATGTCTGTGCAGGGCCTCTCTCACATTTCTACATCTCCCATCTGCTCAAATCTCCATCATCATCTGCTCAGTCATATAGGTATCATCGCATTTTGTTGCCTGCTTGGACATCTCTCCCTTTGTTGTCCCTGCCTATCTGCTCAGTCTTGTCCATGGTTTTGCATCTCCCCATGCAATCATAGCCTGATCATCATCATCATCTCCCTGCCTGCTACAGGAGGACTCAACCCATCCTTGTGTCTCTTCATCCTCTCAGCCCCGATCGTCGTCACACGTCCAATAGTCCCGCTGTTGTAGTCAAATCTCCCCACCTAAAGCTGTGGAGCTTAGTGCCATGGCCATCTGCCCATTACCATGTCTCTCCTGCTCAAAGTGCCGCCCCTGTGCTCACATCTCCCACTTGCTTAGAGCGCCATCATCACCCATCTCCCCATCTGCTCAGCCCCAGCATCACCCATCTCCCATCTGCTCATAGCCCCATTGTCACCCATCTCCCCATCTGCTCAGCCCCATCATCACCCATCTGCCCATCTGCTCAGCCCCATCTCATTTGTCTCCCCATCTGCTGAGAGCACCATCATCACCCATCTTCCCATCTGCTCAGCCCCATTGTCACCCATCCCCCTATGAACTCTAGCAGCATTGTCGCCCGCGTCCCATCTGCTCAGAGTCCCATCATCACCCATCTCCCCGTCTGCCCATAGCCCCATCGTCACCATTCTCCCCATCTGCTCAGCCCCATCATCACCTGTCTCCCTGTCTGCTCAGACCCATCATCACCCTTCTCCCTGTCTGCTCAGGGCCCCATCATCACTCATCTCCCTGTCTGCTCAGCCCCATCATCACTCATCTCCCCGTCTGCTCAGCCCCATCATCACCCATCTCCCCGTCTGCTCAGCCCCATCATCACCCATCTGCCCATCTGCTCAGCCCCATCTCATTTGTCTCCCCATCTGCTCAGAGCCCCATCATCACCCGTCTCCCCGTCTGCTCAGCCCCATCATCACCCGTCTCCCCGTCTGCTCAGCCCCATCATCACCCGTCTCCCCGTCTGCTCAGCCCCATCATCACCCGTCTCCCCGTCTGCTCAGAGCCCCATCATCACCCGTCTCCCCGTCTGCTCAGCCCCATCATTACCCGTCTCCCCGTCTGCTCAGCCCCATCATCACCCGTCTCCCTGTCTGCTCAGCCCCATCATCACCCGTCTCCCCGTCTGCTCAGCCCCATCATCACCCATCTCCCCATTTGCTCAGCCCCATCATCACCCGTCTCCCCGTCTGCTCAGCCCCATCATCACCTGTCTCCCTGTCTGCTCAGACCCATCATCACCCTTCTCCCTGTCTGCTCAGGGCCCCATCATCACTCATCTCCCTGTCTGCTCAGCCCCATCATCACTCGTCTCCCCATCTGCTCAGCCCCATCATCACCTGTCTCCCTGTCTGCTCAGCCCCATCATCACTCATCTCCCTGTCTGCTCAGGGCCCCATCATCACTCATCTCCCTGCCTGCTCAGCCCCATCATCACTCGTCTCCCCGTCTGCTCAGCCCCATCATCACCCATCTCCCCATCTGCTCAGCCCCATCATCACCCATCTGCCCATCTGCTCAACCCCATCTCATTTGTCTTCCCATCTGCTCAGAGCCCCATCATCACCCGTCTCCCTGTCTGCTCAGCCCCATCATCACCCGTCTCCCCGTCTGCTCAGCCCATCATCACCCGTCTCCCCCGTTTGCTCAGCCCCATCATCACCTGTCTCCCCGTCTGCTCAGCCCCATCATCACCCGTCTCCCCGTCTGCTCAGAGCCCCATCATCACCCGTCTCCCGTCTGCTCATGGCCGCATCATCACCCGTCTCCCCGCGCTCGGCGGCAGGGCTTGCGGCGCCGGCGCGGCCATGGCGGACATTGACGAGCTGGCGCTGGCCGGCGGCGACGGACTCGAGGATGACCTGCTCGACGGCCTCAACGACGGCGAGAACAACGGCAACGACACGTCGGCTGTCAGCTTGGATGGCGACCAGAGCATGGACGACCCGGTACGGCCGCCGCTGACGAGCGCGCGTGCGCAGGCCCTGGCGCCGACTGCTGGACGCCGGGCCGGGCCAGCAGCCGGGTGAAGGCTGGCGCTAGGCTCATGTTGTGTATGGGAGGTTGTGGTAGTGTCACGGATTGAGGCATGGTTTGAACTGTCCGTCTCGTTTGGTGTGAAAGTATGGACACGCCGTTTCGGTCAGTTGAATTTCCGGCCGTCGTCTGGTGTTATAGAGTCCTTGGAAGGGCTTGATGGTGTTCTAACATGATGTTCTTTGTCTCTAAGGACTCCATAACTTTTGGGCGACGACCGGAGAGCTAAATGCTCAAAACGTTGAGTACATACTAACACACCCAACGAGAACGATAGTCAGAACGACTATTCCGTCCATGATACTATCACCTCGTCTCAATCCTACCCATATGTAAAATTGTTTTAAAAAACTTGTAGGTTCTAAAAATTCTTCAAAAAGAGCTAAAACATGCGACAAGCTTGCAGGATATTTTTGGTTTTAACCTGTTAGAAAATAATTCACTGTGGTTACCTGGTGGGGCACTAACAGTGTAGTAGTTATGCCGCACGTCTGTGAGTCCACGGTTGCGAAGTACGATTTCCCGCAATTCCCGCCCTGCCTGGCAGGGTTAGGGACAGGCGATGTCATGTGGGCCAATCGCAAGCACATAAACCTGACACTGGTCTCTTCTCGGGCTTTTCCGACGTGATGTTGAACCTTGTTGACTGTGAAACCCAAGTTGTGCTGCCTGTATGTGGCCGCGGAAGTTTGCTAAAATGTGCAATGACGTCTTTATCGGCTTTTGACACTTCGTAATTAGTTTACGGTGTTTACTGTTAGCTGGCAAGCTACCCCCGCTTCTTTTTAGTTTCGTGTGGACAAAGGTGGACGCGGCATGCGCACTTTGTACGGCGTTGGTTTAGCTTTGTTCGGTTTCGCGTGGTGTGGCTGAAGGTGGCGCGTGAACCAGCACGCTTTGCTGTACGTTGCAGGAGCTGGCCGCCATCAAGGCGCGGGTGCGCGAGATGGAGGAGGAGGCCAACAAGCTGCGCCAGATGCAGTCCGAGGTGGACAAGCAGATGAACCTGGGCAGTCCGACCACAGGTAACGGCCAGCGGCGGGTGCCGGGGGGCATGGCGCCCGGCTCACACGACCGGTGGCCGGGGACGGGCACTGACAGGGGTACACGTCACCGGCTGGGAGGAGTGGGCTGATTAACACGTGAGATGCTTGTCAGACGGGCGCTGAACTCCGGTTATGTCGAGATCGATTCCAGAATCAAGCAAAAAGAGGGGAATTAGTTCCTTTGGCGTGTTCTCTTTGAGTTTGAGTAGTAACTGAATTAACTTGGCATACTCTGGCGACGTAAGTGTACGCCGAATGAATCGGAGACGTATGTAATATATCTTTGTCAAATTAGCGTCGTTTGTAGGTTCTTGAGAACAGACTATCTCCTAAGTGAGTAGCCACTTCGCATTGAGTCGCAATCTGGATCAGCTCGGTGTCGCGTCGTGGTGCTTGAGATTCAGAGCAAAAATCCATCCCATGCGCTATGAGTCGGAACTGACTCCGCTATATTCGAATCAAGCACAAATCTGTCACTTCATTACGCATCAACGGTGGTGACTGATGGAGCAGCCTCTTTGTGTTGTACTGTTGTTCCAGAGAGCTTCTGAGGACACAGTCAGATCACTGGCTCTGCAGCATTGTGTTCCTAATACTTGATAATGCATGCACTCCATCTCAACAGAAGGTCTGCCACAATAACTGATTTAAGAGACCTGTTGTCTTTCCCACCGCCGGTCCGTGTGGACACGACCCGGAATGCGGCTGGGCTGTTTTTCTTGCGGCGCATCGTATCTGGGGCAATGTTGCCCCGCGTAGGCCACAAGAGCCGACAAACTCGGACGTCCGGTCTGTGCGGAGGCTTGTCACTGGCGCGGCGTCGTCCTCTGTGCCCGCTGCGTGGTCTTGTACCGCACCAGCACGGCTGGGGCCTACACTGGGTGACCATTGTTTCACCGTGCTGTGCTCTGGTCGCTCAGAATGACCGCGTCGCCTGAGCACGCTGGTGTTCGCCGGCGTGTGTTCTGGCCGCTTACAATGACCGCGTCGCCTAAACACGCCGGCGTTCGTGCTGTGCTCTGGCCGCCCGTAATGGCCGCGTCGTCTGGGCACGCCGGTGTTCGTCTTGCTGTGTGCTCTGACCGCTCGGAATGACCATGTGGTCCGAGGACGCAGATGTTCGATGCAAATTTTGCGGATCAATCCACCATTCATACGCGAATGTTGTTGGACGGGCCGGATCTGATTCAAATTTTGATAGTGTTTTGAGGGTCGATCGTTGTCGGTTTGCATTCCAGTTGAACAATTCAGTTCTGATCCAAATGCTCATTTAGCAGAGTGTGAATTGTTCATCAATGGTTCGTCCTAAGTTTCATTATTCCACGCAGATTTATTTTGTGACTGGGAAAGAATTGATTCATTGTCGATATTCGGTGGTTTAGGTTGGATTATGTACGTGAGGTCAAGTTGCATGCGCTGGCAGGATTTCCGATTTTGATGCCAATGTTAGTTAGTTTGAGGATTTAAATGCAATGGCCGAATTAGGCTGGCCTGTTTTGTGTGGGCCGTGACTCGTTGGAGCAATATAGTTTGGTATGACGTTTGAAGTACGACGAAATATTAAGTGATGAAAATCATAGTTGCAGATATTTTGTATTAAGTGATGGAAATCATGGTCGTAGATATTTTTTGTTTATCTTCCAGTTTTAGTTTAGTTCAGCAGTTTGTTTTTCTAGGAGAAGCCAGTGCGAAATTCAGAGGCAACCTGTTCAGAACATTCTTGACTGAGTTAAACGTTATGCATCTTTATCATGAGGCGTCGCAGGAAAAGTAACCCTGGACCTGCTGCGGACCGCGAGGCCTCGCGACGCCCAGTCGGCGGCCGTTGGCGTGCTGTTGTTGAACCTGGGCGGGTAGTATGTATTTGGCTGTGGAACGTGGCACGTTTCAGTATCATTGGGTGTGGCTATGGGCTGAAGGAGCAAGCCGCAGTGTGTGTGAAGCTGTCTCTTTAGGTGAAGGTAGTGGTCGCGCCTGGGTGAAAGCCTCGGGTGCGGTTTAGTGTGACAAGGTGAGACCTCAGTCTGGTGTGACAGCACTTGGCCGTCAGGCACCATTCATAAACGCTGTACCGGTACGGTGTGGTGTAGCATGGGTGCTATTGTCGGTCGAATTCCGACATGAGACTAGTTTTGTGCAAAGTTTTGTTTTGTTTCTGTCAAAATTTTCGAGTCGACTCATTTTGCCCTCGCGTGAATTGTGCGGTTGAGATCGGCCCCTGCTTGAAGAGCCAACGAGTCAAGTCACGACTCGCATGGCGTGTTTATCAACCCAAATCGGCTCTTGAACCATCCAAAAATGACTCATTTCTTCCGTGGTAAATGTTAGCATTTCGAGTCGAGCTTAGGTCCGCCCCTGATGTTTGTTGCACGGCTGGGCTAGCCCGCGTGCGTGCTCCCACGTGCGGTCAACGAGCGGTGGGGAGCCGGCACGAGTGGCTCCGCCGCGACGTTCCCGGTGCTGGTGCGGTGCTGGAAGTCGATGCGTCACGAACCGGCGGTAAATGTGTCTCGGTTCGTGAGAGGTTCTGTCCCTCTCTCCTGGAACGGAGGGATGGAGTGTTCCGAAAGAACCAATACGATTGGTCTGCGTTGATTTTGCCTACAGGTCTTCTTGTCTGGTGCCCTGGCTTTCTGTTCACAGCCCCTCATTAGCTTTGTGAAAGGCAGCATGCAGTCAGAGACCCATCGCCCTCATCATCTATCTATGATCTACGTGATCCATGTCGTCTAGCTGTCGTCTACGCTTGTGCTCAGTATTGCTGCGCCACTGAGCACAAGTGTAATGTAGTGCTGTGAGCGTGCGTGTCAGCGAGTGAGCGCTGATTCCTGTCGGTGACAGGCCTCCTCCTACCCGCAGAGCCGGCCACAAACCCGCTCAACCTGTCGGTCGAAGAGAAGATGGAGGTGGACGCGCGCTCCATCTACGTCGGCAACGTGGACTACGGCGCGGCCGCTGAGGAGCTGGAGCAGCACTTCCACGGCTGCGGCTCCATCAACCGCGTCACCATCCTCTGCAACAAGTACGACGGCTCGCCCAAGGGCTTCGCCTACATCGAGTTCGCCGACAAGGACTCGGTGCAGACGGCGATGGCGCTCGACGAGTCGCTCTTCCGCGGCCGCCAGATCAAGGTGGGTTGCGGGGAAGGGGAGGGGTGGACTGCGATCGAGCGAGCTTGGTGAGGTTAGTGGTGGCGAACTCCTCTTAGCCAGCTCATTGCACTTAACGCGTTCGAGTTTTGCTGGTCAGAATTTGTTTTCGGAGTTGTACTGTGACATGCGATTTTCACTGCTGCAACCGGTGGTGATGCATGAGTGTTTTTCTTTTCGGGTGAATCTGTTGGTGAATGGCCGTAAAAATGCCTGATGCCTCAAAGCGGACCAGAAAACGATGTGCGTTACACCAGGCCCTGTTGTACAGTTGTCGGACAGAGCTTTTCCTATTTATTCTTTAACAAGTGTGCTGTGGTGTATCAGATGGGGTAGGGGGCTGGCTAGTTATTTTGTGTGTACGATGCCGGGGCCCTATCTCAGTCATGCATAATGAAATGAATAGAAAACCAAGGCAAAAGAAGGGGAAACAAAGTGAGAGAAGCACTACTGTTTCTTGGGTCATGTAGTAGGGAATTGGCAGCCAGTTGAGTGCCTTTGTTCGTGGCACTGTTATATTCAATCGAATAGGCTGATGCAGCAAAATTACGCCAACATGTTACGACTTCCCGCGGACTGCCCGTTCTGAACAGGGACACGATGTGCAGGAAATGATAACCAGCAATCGGCGATGAAATACGTCTCCCGCAGCGTTTCACAGATGTTGGCACCGAACTCATTTCAATTGGCTGTCTTGTTAGCTTGTATACTGCCAGACTTATCAGAAGCCCTGGATCATGGTAGGAGCGACGGTTGTCCAGATCTGCTGTCCAGGACAGTGTTAGGCTTTCAGAGCCGCAAGGTCTTGGGCATTGGGATTATTTTTTCTACTTTCCATTGGACTTATTTTGCATATTAGCTCATTTCAAAATAGTCCCAATGCCGTCACATATGTGGCGTTAGTCACATATGCCGCGTTGTTAACAAAGCAATAAATAAACGTATGGCCATTTGCAGTGGACGCGCCCCAAATCTCCGAATTTTCATCATCCTCGTCATCATGGCACATGAATGGGTGACATAAAGTTGCATCCTGTTTTACCGTGCGTGGGTAGTGGCTAGGTGGCCTGAAATGTTATGCCGCTCGTCCACCGCTCAAATGTGTGAAGTGTTAGCCAAGGTTGTGTGTATAAACAGTGCGATTCAAGGAACAAAGTCCCTTGAATCGCATTGATTCTTCCACTTTCTTCCGTACGGCTGACCGAAGCGGCAGCTTAATTACATTCATAACAGCGGAATGAAATTGTGTGTTTCAGTCACCTGTTCAGGGAATTTGATGAGTAATAGCGAAAATTGTTGTGGGTCAGAAGGCTGGCTATGAAACAGACGCCAGACGGTACAAGACCGCCTTGGAACGGAGGTGACGGCGCGTATGTTGTATTCATTCCAGCCTGGCCGCAAACCCAGGCCTATTTGCATGGGATACCCGGCCAGCACGTGCCATGCCAATCTCAGTCCACGACCCATCGTCCCGTTAGAGAATACAGATCACCCGTCCTTTCTGCCCCTGCCCCTCCCCCCCCCCCCCCCCCCCACTGCTGGCGCTGCGAAGCCCCGACCGGTCGTTTCCCGGCACCGACCGCCCTCCCCCTCCCCGCCCTCCCGCCTCACGCCCCACGCGCAGCCTGTAGTCGTCTTCGTCACCGGCGCCTCCTCCCGACAGGTGATGCCGAAGCGGACCAACCGGCCGGGCATCTCCACCAGCAACCGCCCGCCCCGTGGCAGGTTCCGCGGCCGCGGTCGCTTCGGCTACCGCTCCCGCCGACCCAGGTCAGCCCCGACCCCGACCCCGACCCCGACCCGAGACGGGCGCGTTGTCGTGGGACGTTCGTTCCCGCCGCGGGAGCGCGCGCGGGTCGCAGGCTTGGGCGGGGCGATGCTTTCCTGTCGGCAGTTGCGTGCGCCGACTCACGTCCGACGTCGGCAGTTTCCTGCCGGCTGGATGGGCTGGCGTGTTTGCGACCGGAGGAATGTCATGCGGCGATCGATGGAGGCGGACGGACGTGTGAGCGCGCCGGCGCTGGCCCGACTCGGAGTCGTGGTGTGGCTCGGAGTCAGAGTCGTGCGTGACTCGTGCGTGAGTCCCACGCCCCCCGCCGGCTCACGGCCATCTACTGCAGCACTGAGTCAGGGCGGAAACGGGAATGAAGACCATGCCATTCGTGATGTTTAGTGGTCGGTTTACTGGTTGCTTGTTGGTTTGTCATGGTGTATGTCGTAATCGTACTTCGTGCATGATGTCTATCGCTAGTTAAGTTGTTGTTTTGGCTTTCCAGGTACCGCCGGTCAAACTACTTCTCTCCCTACTAAGGTACAACAGTGGGTGGCGTCGATCCGGCAGCGCAGCCTAGCGGAGGATCTGCGAAGCTGAAGTTCGACAGCGGTGGCCGGACGCAGACGGCGCCTCCGGGTCGAGGAGTTTTGCTTCTGACTGATGTCATCGTTCGATTCGTCGTTTTCCATGCCGTTGTGTGGCGCTGCAAGTGGAGGTGCGCTGTGGTGTGAACGTCGGGACGCATGACGCGCCGAGAAGCATTCGGCCGCCTGGTGCGCGTGTTGCCGCTAGCCCCGGCCGCGGTCCCCCCACCCCTACCCCCCATGTTCCCATTTCAACTCTGCCCGCCGGGTGTGACGCCTCGGAGCGCGTGCCGGCGGCCGCTGTCCGTGGACTTCTACCCTTTGGTCGTGTTCGCCGTGCGGCCGAGCGGCGGGCCCGTCCGTGGCAGGCGTACCGGTCGCCTGTTTTGAGTTGGAGCCGGTTGTCTTCTTACCTTAACCCTGATTTAATATCGGTACTTGTAGTGTTCTTGTGACTAGCGAACGTTCGGCTGGATGCGAAGTGCAGTTTCTGGAAAGATGCTGGTCGGGCACGAAAGATTCTGAAAAGTGAGGGAAAACACGACAAAATGTACAGACTCATGGTTTTCACAAGGTGTGTGGGGGAGATCGGCGTGGGTGTAATGGAACGATTGCTGCCAGAAACATCGTGTGGCGAGGGGCGAGAGAGGCGATAGTTGGCGTGGGAGTTAGTAAAAGCTAATAAAACATACCGCGCGGCGCGGGGCAACAGGAACGATTACTGACATGGGAGTCAGTAAAAGTTAAAACATCCTGTGCGGCGCGGGGCAAGTGACGATAGTTGACATGGGCGTTAGTAAAAGTTAATAAAACACCCTGCGCGGCGCGGGGCAAGAGGACGATGGTTGACGTGGGAGTTTGTAAAAGTTAAAACGTCTTGTGCGACGAGGGGCAAGAGGGACGATGGTTGACGTGAGAGTTAGTAAAAGTTAATGAAACATCCTGTGCGGCGCGGGGCAAGTGACGATAGTTGTCATGGGCGTTAGTAAAAGTTAAAACATCTCGCACGGCGCGGGGCAGGAGGGAGGATAGCTGACGTGGGAGTTCGTAAAAGCTAATAAAACATCCTTTGCGGCGCGGGCGAGAGAAACGATAGCTGACGTGGGAGTTATTAAAAGGGCCACATATCTTTGGCAGCCCACGCCAATGGGCTTGGTCGTTGCGTTGGGAAGCCCGTTTGACTGGCGAAGGCCACTGATGTAGCATACACTTCATTATAATGAGCTTTTGTATTCACTGTTTTCGTTGACGGATCATCACAAATAATGTTTTAAATGTTCATTGGCGGCGAGTATTGCCGCGCCTGGCCATTGTAGTCCAAGAATTCAGTGACTGCAGCGATTTTCGGTTGAGGCGGTTACGACTTAGAGGATGGCGGAAGACGCAAGTGTTTCGGGTGAGTGGTAGTCAACAGTAACGGCTGTGCGCCTGGTCTCAACTCACCGCCCAATATTTCAGTACAGATCGCGGCGTCGTGTATTACGGGCGCGATTCGGAAACGCTAACGTTGGCCGGCGTCCGGCCGCCTACTAGCTCATCTATCGTTCGTAAGCTCGGATGTAAGTTATGGTCAGTATATTGGCTTAGTCTCCAGAAGTTTCACGTCTGCTCGCAGCCGAGACCGGAAACAAGTTTTTTATACTGCGCCGAAGCGGGCGTGCCCATGGTTTGCGCGTGGGAGCACGTGACCGTGTGCGCACATCGATCAGCATTTGCTGGTATGATTGTTCGTTGGTGGAGGTGGAATCGTCAACTTGCAATGCTACAGGAAGAACATGCCGCATGAAATAACTTGCATGCACATGTCTAGCTGAGCGTTTAAAGCACGCCTTTGACAAAATTGGGCTCCCGTTGGTCTTTCGTCCAGCTTTGGGAAAATGAAATATATTTGCGATCAGCGGCTACAGGTCAAACACCATCCAAGCAGATGCGACACTCTCCCAGAAACATTGGGGATCCAAGTGGGGTTATTGGGGTTCATTCTTGCGATGCGAAGCCACGGGCCTAACCGTAATTTTATGAGATGGTTGGGGGGGGGGGGGAGCTGCATTTCCAACCAACTGCAAGGTTGCACCCATGGCTTTTAGGAAGCGTGGCAGTTGGGCCAGGCCCTGAAGCTAGCTTTTATTATTCATGTGAAGGCAAGTCACGCTCACATTATCATAGCATTCCTGCATACCTAGACTGACAAAACATAAGCCCACTTATTTAGTTGATAAGCTGTGCCGCGTACATAGCTTAGTACGTTAAAAGCAAAACGAAAAAAATGTGTCGCAGGTAAGCAGGTTATCAGGTCTTCTATAGATGCCGTGCGCGTTGTTAGGTGCAGTGTGCATTCGGCGCAAACATTTTAAAAAATCGTCGTGACTCGGTATTCGAGACCTACTCGTCCAGCATTGATGCTCCCGAAAATATTCATTGTGAAATGACAATCACAAATGTGGCGGTGAGCCGACGCGGAAACACCAGCACGCCCGTGTCGACAGCCTGATAAAGTTATTAGGGTAGCTTGGGTCTGTCGAAAAACTGCATGCTACGGTGTCCTGGATAACGTATCAGGTCCTTAGCACCCGAGATTGATACCTTGCAAGGGCATAATCAGGTGATACGTGCCCCCTAATCGCGCGTGACTTAATGCGGCCGCAGCACTCCAGTCATCACTCAAACCACCGCTGTAAATCATGTGACGTTGACCAAACGTGGACCCCCGAGCCACCGCCCCGCCCCTCCGAGGTCGACCCCTCCCACCCACCCGTACCCCGCCCTTCCCCGCGGAACTCCCGACCTGCCCGTCAGCGGGCGACACGTGCGCACGCGCGCTGCTCCCTGGCATGCGCCTGGGGCACCCGAAATAACCGACAACAGCCACGCGCGACAGCGCCGAGCCCGACGACCGCAGTCGGTGCACTCGCGGGTCCGCCGACGCCGACGGCGGCAACGCTGGGGACCGGCCCGGCCCGACGGCGGCCGGCCGGCGCCGCCATGCCGTCAACGGTGCCCGACGTGGCGCACTCGGCCGCCGCCATGGTCTCGATGCTGATCGTGGTGATGTGCATTCTGCTCTACTGCCTGTGGGAGGGGTGCGCACGCAGCTGGCGGCGCCGGCGGCGGCTGCTGCGCGGCGCCGTCGACCCGCCGTCGGACGCCTCCTCTGTGTACGTGGCGCTGGCGGCGGACGGGCCGCGGCTGGTGACGCGCAGCCGGCTGCTGCCGCCGCCGGCCGCCAAGCGCGGCCCGCCGCCGCCCTACTCGCCGCGGCAGCGTTCGCCGCCGCCGCCGTACGAGAGCATCGTGCCCGCCGGCGGAGACGCCGCGGCGCCGGCGGGGGACGCGCGTGCGGTGCTGGGCCAGCTGCCGGGTGGTGACCGTAGAGAGGACGCGGGATTGTGGAGGGTAGAGGACGTGTTGCCGTCGGCGAACGAGCCTGCGCTGCTGGTGGGACGCGGTGACAGAGCGGAGGACGCAGCACCGCCGCGGTACGAATGTACGCTGCTGGTGCAGGTGCCGAGTGACGTCACAGGACACGACAGCGAAGTACCGATGACGTCACAGCAAGACCTCCAAGAAAGCCGTCATGCCCGGAGCGCAACACGGCCAGCGGAGCGTTCGCCAGTTGTACCGATGGAGCTTACCTGTGATGGTGAACGCGTGTGACTGTTCGAACAGGCTGGACCTGGCGAGTCCAGAACCGCGCGCGCGTCATTGCCGGTGCAGGGATGGAGACCGAGAGACAACCGAACGTTATAAGGCGGAGAGCCTGGTCCCTTCCAGATAATTGCGAGAGGAGCGCTCGGCACGGTTCGGAGACGTCCGCCGCGCGCCCCAACACGGCTGGTGACCCCCTCGCCCCCCCCCCCCGGTCGTGACGTCATGGAGTGTGCAGAGCGACGAGACGCTAACCCCCGATCTTGACGTCATATCGGACGGCACCATGCCAGCAGGTCTGCAGGCTAGCGTGCTGCCTCGCCTGCACCCCTGCGCATCATGCGACCTCGCTGAGGGTCCCCGGTGAGTGTGGCGCCCGCGCTCACAGGTGCCCGCCGCTTCAGCCTCTCCAGCGGCGTCCCGAAACAGAGCTGCGATCAAGACGAAGTCGCCGGCAAACGCCGAATGCGCGGCGACAGCTACTCGACGAGCCCCTGCGTGGCGGCCGAAGCCATGCCAGGCCCGAAGTGTGTACCGCCCGCTTCACCGGCGGCAAACCGCCGAAGAGCTGCACAGCCCGGGTCATCCCACCACGGCGAGGGCGGGCCGCCTCGAGCTCCTGTCGCGTCTCGAGGGCGGTCGTCCTGAGCGCTCGTCGCCCCGGCCTGTGACGCGGCAAGACCCGAGCCGAGGGCCACGGTGGCAGTGACGGCGACTCGACGACTCGCTGCCCAGCCGCGACATTCGAGACGGGAGCCGAGCGAGCTTGTCGGCCAGCTCCGCCAAGTCCATCGCTGCCGCGGTGGTGAGCGAGCGCCGCGGGGGATGCCAGCGGCTGTCCTGGCTCGACCGCCAGCTGACCTTCGCAGCGCATCCCAGGAATGTCGCCCCGCTGCACGACCACGTGACCGCCAGCCGGGCAGCTGGCCACTGGCGCGACATCACTCAGATGTGTCCGCCGCTGGGATTGGTGACACCCTTCTCGGTGTTTTTATAACCTGTTTGATTCGTCACGAGACTGGCGGAGATTGCCGACGCGTGCGCAGGCGAAGCCGCGCCGCTCACCCACCGTTCGGAGAAGAGTGCCGTGCACTTCTTTGCCGCCGAATGACTGCTTCATCCGCGCCCATACATGCGTTACACACACACCCCGTCTATCGCCCCACGCGCTGCCAGTGGATGTCGGCACCGGCGCCGGCCGCCCCCGCGCCCACCGCCGCGGCAGGAGAGCACGGTTGGCTAAGCGGCCCGGGGCCCTCTCGGTGCCAACTCTGGCCGCGCGCCGTCTGCGTCAGCTACTGGCGACACACCGCGCTCCAGGGTAGTGTTTTCACTACACCTGTTGGCCGCAGAGCAGCTTCCCACCTCATCACCAGCCCGTGGAGTGCCTGAACTCCTCACCGCCCATTAAAACAACGAGTCCTTTATGTCCGTGGATTTAACGATTTGTGTACATAATGTCGTACTCTTACACAACTAATGTACACCATTAGGTATTTACAATATCTGCGAGCAGTGGGCGAGCAAAGTACGTGTTGTTTCCATAAAAAAGGTTATGCCACGTCGGGAAGGGACTATTTACATGACTCTCGCTTATGTAGCCGACAATCTGCCTGCGGTTGTCACGCGCCAACGAACACTACACATCGCGCACGTGCGTAAATATTTGTAGCTCTCCTGACCATGATGAGAGTAACACGCAACTCACGCGACAGTCAGCCAACAGTATTTACACCAATGTGATAGTAAATTTCTGTACGCCAATGCACAGGATGTCTTCATGTCAACAAACCAGACAGCCTCACACGAGCCCAGTGCTGCAGAGGTTTAAGACATGATCTGATCTCCACACAAGCGCAGATTCCTTCAAAACGTGCAAGCCCTCCCTCGTGTCCGACACTGTCGTATCACATTATGCAGGTAAACTCATTAATTCGCAACAATAAAAGGCTTAAACATAATTATTCGCAAGCCAATTGGCCACCCGAAGCCGGCGCGGGACCCCAAAGTTCATTATTGCGAGATCACGGGTACACCAGGCTCCACATAGCTGAACGCAACCAGCAGCCGGCGGCGGGGAACGCACCCCCGCGGCGGCACGCTGCATAACTGAAGGGACTGGGGCGGGGCGGGGCGGGGCGGCAGCGCGCGCCGCCGACACAGGTTCTAATCTAAATTTCATGACATAATTGCACTAAGGAAAACGGGCGAAAACCAAACCCCTCCATGGCACAGCGACGGCATCACTTGTCCCGTGACACCCGCCTTCGTTTCGCCACCGTGGATGCGTCCGAATCTGAAAAGGAGAACGTTTGAGCGACATGGAAACACATTCAAGTCATGTCTACGCGCAAGCGCCGCAACCGCACGCCGGTAAAGACGCACGTAATGCCGGCTGCACATGGCAGATGGTGTCGGGATATTTGGACCCCGTCCAATCATCGCACATCAGCGGGAACACGTGAAGAATGCGCACCAGAAGTATCTTTTTGGGTAAATATTCGCCATGTTCTGCGAAATACCATATAAATAAAGGTAATAAACATCAAATATAATTATAAAACAACTTGAACACCCACAATTCACCCCAGCTTCTTGTTGAGATGATTACATAACTCCTTATAATAGCATTAACAGCTGAACCACAAATGGCAGGCCTGGCAGCTGCGACCAAAAGAAAGCATATCAGAGACGAAGCGATAGTGGGTTCCCTGAAGTGCTGGCAGCCATGCGTCAGCGGCATGACATTTCGTAAATGTCAACCGCAGCAAAAATAGCCCGACCGTCACGACTACTGACTCTGTGAACAACGTAGCGCCATATCAGACACGGAATCGGGACCCGGTCTTCGGTTCAGGGGCACTAGCGACAGGGGCTCAACAACTGCTCGTTTAACCACAGATTAATTCGGAATGGCATGATTAACCGGAAGCTATCCGGATTCGGAAAACGCGGTAGGCCCCCCGGGACCGTCTGGGAAGCCGCCGGTTTACAGCGCTTACAGAGAGGGGGTTACAGGACCAAGGTCAACGCCGACAGAGTGACCGCAGCACCTTTGTGCTGTGTGAACCTGCCGTGAATCCGTCTGTCGACTGGGACCGAAAGGTTTTTCTTTTCCAGCCGCGCAACAGTAAATATATGAGTGTGTTTCTGTATGACGCATGTATCTATGTGTGTAGGCGTGTATGTATGTATGTATGTACGTATGTATGCATGTATGTGCGTGCGTGCGCGCGTGCGTGCGTGCGTGCGTGCGTGCGTGCGTGCGTGCGTGCGTGCGTGCGTGCGTACGTGTTTATGTATGCATGTGTGTAGGCATGTGCGTATGTGTATGCATGAGCACAGGCATATATGTGTTGTGCATGTAGGGTGTGTATGTATACATATATGCATGTGTGTGATGTGTGTGCATGTATGTATGCATGCATGCATACATATATACACCATCAGAAATGTCAACGGTGTTAACAGGTTAAATGCATACACATATACACCATCAGAAATGTTAACGTTCGCTCTGAATTACTTGCCAGCTGTCAGCGTCGAATGCGAGGTGCAGCGATTACAAACGCCCTCCATTGACGCTCTCCAAATTCCGCTCATACCATAGGACAACTTATCGCAGCAATAAATTAGCAAGCATTCTCCCCTCTAAACTTGATCCATCGAAAAACATGAAGGAACAGCAAGACCCTCTCTCAAACATCTTGAAACCACTAGCTAAAACAAGGCAGCCACCGGAGCTGGCGTTAGCGTTAGAACGAGATTGGCAATATAAACACACGCTTTGACAGCATGACAGGCCAAACACTGACAGCAGAGGCGTCATCTGAACTGGCTGAAATTGGTCACTGAGACATCTGGACTACTGGTTTTAGCCGGATACAACCAGCATTAACCGGTGGAAGGTTAAAGTGCTGTTTTCGTGCGTGCTGTGCCGTTTTCACCGTTCCGGAGCAACGGCACAACCAATCAGAAATTAAGGACAACCAAAAACAAGGCGTTGTACAAGCCCGCTATCGAACTATGTGGTGCACTTATTATAATATGCATGTGACCCAGAGTCCTCCACCCACTGATCATGCTTCAAGTGTTGCAATGCTGCTCTTACAAGTACAAAGACTTGAAATGTGGGTACTGTTCCGTCCCATAACTTGTTATATGACAAATGTAAATATATATATATATATATATATATATATATATATATATATATATATATATATGTACATCCGGCATCGCAAATACAAAGAAAATAAGCTCGTGGGCTACGACACCACCCAGACTGGACCGCCGCGATCTCCTTCGCCACGCCCCACTCACCCAGTTGTCCGGCGCCACTGTTGCGCAGCTTGCGCTTGTTGACGTTGTTGGTGTCGCGCTCTGGCTCGGGCGGCTCCTTGGGCCGCGCCTTGGCCGGCTGGCGGCCTCTGCGGCCGGCGCCGCCGTCCAGCGACTCGGCCGAGCCTGACCGGCTGCTCGCCGTGGTCTCCCGCGCCCGCGACCGCGACGCCCGCCCACTCGACCTGCCGACGAGCCGACGGCGCTCAGGTACCGGTCGGTCACGCGGCCGCCTCGCCGCCGCGCCGCCGCGCACACAGGGCGCTGAGCGGCGCCGCTCAGCGCACCAGCGAACTCGCGACGTAACATGTAAGGGAGACCACGGCGGCGGTTTGATCCACCTCCCGCAAGGGGAATCTGGCACACCTGGATCATTTAGCACGGAAGAGGGCCTGACAGCGACCGTGAAACATCCGGCTCGTACCGGCGAGACGAACGCTCACCCCCACCCGTCGCCGCCTGGTCAACTCACCGCTCCTGGCCGGGCTTCTCGTCGGTCCTGCTGTTGACGGCGGCGGCGGCTGCCGCAGCGGCCGCCGCCGCGGGCGGCGTCGGCGCCGGCGAGGAGACGCCGGCGTGGTTGGCGCGCGGCGTGGTGCGGCTGTTGGGACGCGGCTCGTCCGTGCTGCGCGTCGAGCGCCGGTCCGACTCGTCGTCCGACATGTCCTCTGCGAGTGCCACAGCGGCGGTCAGCGGCTGGCGCGCGCCGGACACGTCGCCCGGCGGCGCCCGGTGGCGCACCGCGCGACGGACTCAGGCAAAGTCGCCGCGCGGTGCCTGTGTTTGGGACGGCGCGGCACATCGCTGTCTTGCGGTCACCAGCGGCCGCACGGCTGCGCCATCTCACTCGCGTCGTTACATAACGCGAACTCGACCTCGATGGGACATAATGGCATACATTATGAGAGCAAGGAAGTGCATCCTGAACACAGTAGCGGTGTATACAATCAACGGTAAGCACAGCACTACGTACGCTGGCGTTATACTCATTTCAATAACGACGCTGGCATTCATTGTTTATCGCCTTGGTGGCTACATCGCAGTACCGGAACACGTAATTCACCACACATTAAGTGTTGAACCGTTCATTTTCATCCGAATTATTGCGTAATCTATCCCATCATCGCCCGAAGGCGTAACACACAAATTCACAGCGATTTCCGCCAGCATCATCAACAAATACCACGGCACGAAATCCCGGCCACCTGGCATTCCCAATCTGCAGCGACCGAACAGGCAGCTGACAGCCCAGCACAGCAGCTGCACCGACTGCCGGGGGTTGCACTCACCTTTCTTGGCGGCCCTGGCGGTGCGGCGCGCCGGCTCCTCGCGCCGGCCGGTGGCGTTGGGCGTGCCGGGCCGCGTGCGGTGCTCGTCCATGCCCATACACGCCTTGATGAGGCCGGCCGCGTTCTCCGAGCAGCGGCGTCGCGAGCGCTCCGGGCCGGCCACGTCGCCGGCGTCGGGCGTGTCGGCGCGCCGCGCCGCCGCCGCCGGCGTCGGCTCCTCGGCGGCGCTGGCGCAGCTGCCGCCCGACTCGAAGCGGCGCCGCTTGCCCGGGCGCGGGCTGGCGACAGCCGCCACGCGCGCCGGCGTCGGGCTGGCCACGGTCGGGCTGTGCAGGCGCGAGTGCGCGCGCGTGCTGCGCGTGGTTCGCTTCTCTTCGCCTTCCTCGGGGATCTGGATGGACAGCTCCTCGAGGCTCTTGCGGCTCGGCTTCAGGTAGGAGTGGTCCGACTCCACCTTGGAGACGGCCTCCTTGTGCAGCAGGATCTCCTTGAGCAGACAGGACGGGTCGACGGCGGCAGCGACGGCGTCGGCCGCGTCGTCCGGCTCGGCCGAGTCGGCGCCGCCCGTCGACGGGTCACGTGCCTTATCCGGGTTTGAGTACGTGTAGAGCGGCGGCTTGACGCGCAGCAGCTCCGGCTCGTCGGCCGTCGGCTGCTCCAGGTCGGGCGGCAGCTCCTTCGAGTCGCTGCGCCGCATGGCCGACAGCGGCGCCTCGCCCGACACGGCCGGACTCAGCACCGGCGGCTCGGGCGACGGCTCGCGCTCAGCAGGCCGCGCCGTCGCCGCCGGCACCTTGGGCGCCACGGCCGGCGGCGCGCTCCGCAGCGGCGACGGCTGCAGCGGCGCCGCCGCCTGCGGCGAGCTGGCGCCAGCGCGCGCCGCCGGGTTCACCGCCTTGATCAGCTTGATGGGCAGCATCTTGGAACCGGGCGGCAGGTTCAGCGGCGTGGTGCGGCCGGCGGGCACCGGCGGCTTGCTGTCGTCCGCCGGTGGTGGCGGAGGCGGTGGCGGAGGGGGCGGCGGAGGCGTGCTGACCGCTGCCGCCGCGGCCGGGGCGACCACCGTCGCCGTCGAAGTCACGGGCGTCGTCTGCTCCGTCGGAGCCTCGGCCTCCTGCTTCGGCTGGACGGACGCCTCCTCGTCGGCGGGCGCCGGCGCCGGCGCCGCTGGCGTTGCAGTCGAGCCTGCCGGCTGAGCGGCGGACGGAGCGGCGGCGCCGGCCGCGGGCGGGGCCCGATCGGCGGCCGGCTCCGGCGTGCCGCTCTGGCCAGGCGCGAAGTCGACGGCCACGGCAGCAGCGGCGGCGGTTTCGCCGGCCGGCTCGCTGCCGCGCTGCAGCTTGGCCACGATGTTGTTGATGTTGGCCCGCTGGGCGTGACCGGGCGCGCTCTTGTCCACCGCCGGCTCTGCGTCGGCCGGCGGCGCCTTTAGCGCGGTCGCCCGGGTGGGGACCGCCGGCGCCGCCGGCTGCACTGATGGCGCTGGCGTCGCTGGCGTCGCTGGCGTCGCTGCCGTCGCTGTCGTCACTGCCGTCGCTGCCGTCACTGCCGTCGCCGGCGTCGCTGCCGGCGCTGACTTCGCGTCCGGCGCTGCCGTCACTGCCGTTGCCGGCGTCGCTGCCGTCGTTGCCGGCGTTGCCGTCGCTAGCGTCGCTGCCGGCGCTGGCGTCGCGGACGGCACAGACGTCGCTGGTAGCGAGGCCGCCGTAGCCACCGCGGGCGGTGCTGGCGGTGCTGGTAGCGCTGGCGGTGCTGACGGTGCTGGTGGCGCTGATGGCGCCTGACGGTGCTGGTGGCGCTGACGGCGCTGACGGCACTGGTGGCGCTGGTGGGGCTGACGGCGCTGACGGCGCTGGTGACGCTGATAGCGCTGACGGCACTGGTGGTGCTGACGGCGCTGGTGACGCTGATGGCGTTGACGGCGCTGGTGGTGCTGACGGCGCTGGTGGCGCTGACGGCGCTGATGGCGCTGGTGGCGCTGTCGGCGCTGACTGCACCGACGGCGCTAACGCCGCCGCCGCCGCCGCCGCTTCGCCCGACGGCTCCGGCGGCGGCTTGGGCGCGTCCGCCGCCTTGGCGCGCGTCTCCGGTGGGTTTGAGCTGTTGGAGATGACCGACTCCTCCTGTTTACCTACACTAATCACAACTTGTACTTTATCGTCACCTGAAACACTGGTGGGATTTTCACTCGCGACATTCGCAGCGGGACACACACTATCAACTGAATTGTGCGTATTTACAGTCACTTGTATGCTCTCCGTTTTGAAGGTACGGGAAGGCACTCGTTCCGACGGTTGGTCCGTAAGCGGTTCAGTTTTATGGCCCTGGGACGACGGTTCGTGCTTTTCACTGTCCAGTTCTTCCTTGCGGTGGGGACTCTCCTCCTGGTTCGGACTCTTCTCCGACTGCGTGTCCATCGACTCGATCCCCGAGTCCTCGCCCTGGCCATTACTGGGGTCGCCCTTGGGCGTCACCGACGGGCTGTCGAGGCCCTCCACTTTGGTGAGCGCCAGAGAGCCGCCCAGCGCCTCGCCTAGCCGCGCGGCCGACGCCGACGTGGCAGCGCCTACGTCGTTCACCTTCTTCTCCAGACAGTGGGTGAGCACCTCCTTGCGGAGCGCGTCGCCCTCGGCGCGGCCGGAGCGCAGCGTGCCCTCCAGCGCCGCCGGGCTCGGGTGCACGCAGGTGACGGCCGCCACGGTGACGGGTGCCGCCGACGGCGACGGCGCCGCCTTCTGCGCCGGCAGCGCGGCCACGCTGAGCGCCAGCGCGGCGGCGGCGGCGGCCGGCGCCGCGGCCACCGTCGTCGCCGGCTCGGGGGCCGCGCGCGCCGGCGGCGACTCCCACGGGTCCGGCGAGAAGATGTCCTCGGGCGGCACCGGCGGGATGTGCTTCAGGTCCAGGTCGTCGTGGAGGCCTGCGGGCACGGCCGACATCTCAGCGCTAAAGCCCATGGCTTGGGTGCAGCAGCGATCCCCAGCGGTCAGTCAGCGCGGGGCGGATTTGCGCAAGCTAGTTTGCCCTGCCCGATACGGAGGCCCAGCAGTTTACGCTGAAATTGTGCAACGCGACCCGACGACGACGTTACACAGACCTCGCTCCGTAATCGGCAGCCGCCGCCTCGAGGGACCGGCACTCCAAGGGCGACGGGCACGGAAGGGCGCCGAGGCGCCAGCCCGGGCCGACGTCACCGGAGGCGCCGCCCCCGCGGGAACACACCACGGCGACGGATATATCAGATGCGACGTGCGACGAGCCCCCCGGCGCCGACCGACACATTCGGGCGGACTCCACACACGACAGCAAGAGTGCACCGCATGCTACACGGACGATGGTTCTGTGGCCGATCAGCTACAATTAACAAAGCCACATTTCCAACGTGAACACTTACCTGACGCCGTTAGCGGTCCCAAAACGATCATATTCATCATCCCTACCCACATAAAATTCACTGCAGCTCATCACACGTGAGAGAAACAGGTTAAGCTAACAAACGACGCCACGGCTGATGTCTCATAATTATAAATAAACGCGTTCGGCAGCTCATGCTACGTCCACAAGCACATACTGCTGAGCAGGCAGCGCACGACATGCCATGTCCGGACTAACATGGCTGCCATTAGTCTGACTTGTGGCCCTTTAACGTCGCGATGTTTTCGTCGGCCCCGGAGCCATCCACAATGTGGCGCTTAACACCCGCCAGCGGGCCTCGTTTGCATATGTTTTTGGCAAGTGCTTGTTTTAGACGATATATCGTAAGGACGGTGAGAAAGAATCCCTCTAGAGGCGTCGCCCAGAAGGGTAGTTATGTAAAAATGACGCCATCGCGAAACAAGACGAGCAAATAGACAACTCCATAGCAGTTAACGTTAATAGCGTGAATCAGTGTGAAAAAATTACCCCTTTGCCGGGTTTTAGCCAAACATAAACATTCACTCTCCACTCCACTAAATTTTTCCGATTTTTTTTGCGTGACGTACCATAATTTTTAAATTCTATCACTTAAGGGAACGATTGCACGTGACCATGTCCAATTCAGCATTAGGGTATATCCCGAAACTGCACTCGGCAGGCATTACATACATTACTATTGAAGCCCACGCATTATAGGCAATATGCAACTATCATAAGCGGCGTCATTTCAATCAAGCAACACGAATTCCACCCCTTGCATTGCGGCTTCGGATAAGTTTTGCACCAAGCTCAATTAGAGGCAATGTTTGTTCGCTCAGTGCCACCTGCCGTCGGCGTAAAACCATCTGTCCTATCGCTTTCAAAATCATTCGAGTTTTGGCTGGACCGCATTTCATCATGTCAGTTATGCAGTTATCGTTATAATAATTATTATAATATAAGCCACCACACACCCCGCCACGATCTCCCACCAATAACAAAGCTCCAACATGAGAGCAAACAGCCGTCTGGCCCGCAGGCTGTGACGCAATCTCCCCACTCAACACGGATCGACATCCTGCTGGATACTCTCGCCGTCATAAGCTTTTCTCCTGCACGCAGTACGCCTTGGGGGCGCACCGACCGACCCGCCTCGAGGCCGCGCCGGTCCCCACGCCCAGCGGTAGCCTCTATCCAGGTCGTATGTCTCACGGGCGCGCTGACTGGCCCAGCTCGAGACCGCACCGGTCCCGGCGCCCACCGGTAGCCTCTAACCAGGTCGTGCCGAACTAATTAATTACGGTCTTATGCCACGACAGTTATTCTCCTATTTCGACCGGCACAAAAGGCCCGAATTTCGTGCGTTAACCATGCCAATGTCTTCAAAAAGACTGAGCCGCCCTTGTTTCAAACCTGGAAAGGTATCCAAGAGGACCTGCGGTCATGTGCAAAACTCCCCCATGATTACGCTTAACTCCTTCAACTGATTACTGTGGTAAAAACAACAACCCGCCTTTACATCCTCGTATGGCCATCACGCTCTTTCATGCTACCGGCGCAAGCAGGCATAATTAGCATGATGAACCCAAACTTAGGGCAATCATAATGACTAGTTCCCAGTTCAGTTCTTCATTCCATCAGCAAAAAAGAACTAATATAACAATTATTCCCACCGGTCCCTGTCCGGCCGTCGTAAGCTCCATGGAGCACAAACTGTTGCAATAACCCTAGTTGTGCCAAGCAGTTTCAACTACAGTGGCACACATCGGTCATAAATTGTTCACTTATGGCCCCAGGCATGCAAGTGTTAACTCTGAGACACTGGTGCCATAAATAATCAAATAAACGAAGATAAACTTGCAAGCCTCCCCCATAATTTATCACGTTATTATCACCTAATTTGGGGAGTGATTTTACGTCCAAACTGACACATCCGTCACCAATGAGTACGAACACCTCGCTTGGAACAGCAGTCGTAAAACGGATAAATGATAACCAATAAAGACACCCCACAGGAAGTCATGCAGGAGGACCGCCACCGAAGTCGCGCACCCGTGGAGTGGGACATTCACACATGCCAACAGGTAGTCGGAAGACGGCTTACCAAACATGTGGTTCGCCCGACATTCTTTGGGCCCGCCGCTGGTCGCGTCCTTCTCGCACGGTTTCACCACTTTCACACTCAACGCCTTATCACTGCTGTCCTCCTTCCGCTTCGCACGCTTCAATTTGTCCTTATCCTTCGGCCTGCTCTTCAGGCCCGGGTCCTTCACCTTAATTTTCAGCGGCCCTTCGTCGACCGCAGCCAGTAAGGCATCCGCGGGCGCGTCCTCCTTGTCCTTTGTACTCTTCAGTTTGGGCTTCAGTTTGTCTTTGGACTTGACGACGGCGCGCTCGCCGCCGTCCTTCGACACCACCACGGCGGCGTTGCGTCCGCGCAGCGAGATGTGCAGCGGCGGCACGCGCGGTTCCTCGCCGGCGGCGGCGGCGGGCGCGGCGGGCGCGGCGCCGTTGCCGGCGGCGCGGTCGGGCCGGCGAGGCGCGCCGCCGCCGCCACCGCCACCGCCGCCACCGCCGCCACCGCCGCCGCCGCCGCCACCGCCGCCGCCGCTGCCGAACGACACGTCAACCTTGTAGGTGGGGCTGACCGGGCTGACAGGCTCGGCGCGCTCCAGCTTGAGGCGCAGCTTGATCTTCTCGGCGGCCGGGCTGGTGGAGACGGGACGCGGACTGGGCGTGCCGCCGCGGCTGGCGCGCCGGCCGGCCGACTCGCCGCTCAGCAGCGACAGCTTGCTCGCCTCCGAGTCGGACATGTTGGGCAGGCTCTGGTTCGACTCCTCGTCCGAGAAGATGGAGTTGGAGTTGTCAGGGAACGGCGAGCGCGCGCGCTCCGGCTCGCTGTCCGAGCTGCTGTCGCTCGTCGGCATGGGCTCGAGCAGGCCGGTCAGAGGGTTGATAAGGAGCTGGCGGGGCTTACCTGAGGCGTGCGCGGCTCCGGCGCCGCCCTGCGAGGAGCCAGGACTGAGGTGCGCCTTGGCCAGCGGCGCTGGCGGGGAGGAGGTGGCGGAGGTGGCGGCGGCCGTGCCGCCGCCTGTCGCCGCCAGGCCGGGACGGATCTGGACCGAGGAGGAGCAGGAGGACGCGGACGAGCCGAGCTGGGCGGGCCGCGGCGCAGCCTCGGGCCGGTGAGGCGCCGGCCGCGGCGCGCCCGACAGCGCCTGGTGCAGTGTCGGCCGCGCCTGCTTCACGTGGTGCAGCTGAGCCGAGTAGACGCGCGTCGGCTGCTGGCCGGGCCGCGTGGGCCCGTTGTTGACCAGCACCAGACCGCCGTTGCCCACCGGTTGCGCGCCGTGCGCTGCCACAACGTGGTGGCGGCCCGGGTGTGCCACGAGCGCCACGCGCGTCGGGTGCGGCCGCGCCACGGCCGGGCCGGCCGACACGCGCGCCGCCGGCGAGCCCGGCAGCTGGACGGGCGAGACGCGCAGCGGCAGCTGCACGGGCGAGTGTCGCGCCGCTTGCGCCAGCCCGGCCGGCGACGCACCGCGCACAGCCGCGCCCACCGGCGAGCGGCGCACCACCTGCTGCACGGCCACCGGCGAGCCGCGCTGCGGCAGCTGCAGCACTGGCGACATGCGGTGCTTCAGCGCCAGTCGCACCGACTGCTGAGGCGCTGACAGCCGCGCCGCTTGCGACTGCGGCGGCGGCGCGCGGCCGACGTGGTGCGGCGCCTCCGATGAGGGCGCCTCGTTCTTCAGCAGGTTCACCAGCAGCGGGCTGCCCATGCTCGACATGCTGGAGGCGCTCAGGGCCGGGGCCTTGAGCGTTGCCTCCCGCGTCGCGCCACTGGCCAGCACCGCCGTCTGCTGCTGCTGCTGCGGCGGCGGTGGCGGTGGAGGCGGCGGAGGCGGTGGCGCCTGCTGCTGCTGCTGCTGCTGCGGTGGCTGCTGCGGCTGTTGCTGCTGCTGCTGGCCGCCTCCCGGGTACGGTGGCGGCGGCGGCGGGGGCAGTGGTGGCGCCAGCTCGCGGTGCTGCACAGCGGCCGCGGCCGCGTGCGACATGCTGTTAAATGGGTACGTGGCCGCCGCGCTGGTGCGCTGCTGCAGCTTCGCCGGATACGGTAGCGGCTGGCTAACCGGCGCTACCACGTTGGGGCTGCGGAAGGTGGGCGGCGCGGGCGCGGGCGCAGCGGCCGGCACCGGCGCCCGCTCGCCGCCGCCGCCGCCGCCGGCCATCAGCTCGGCCAGGCTGCGCTGCGGCGCCGACGCCGAGCCCGCCTCCTCTGTACGCAGCACGATCTCCTGCGGCGGCCCGTTGTTGCGGCCGGCCAGCGTGAGCGAGATCACCTGTGGCGAACGCGCGGCACACCGTCAAGGCACGGAAACACAAACCAGCGCGGGGAAACACCGCCCGCGCCGTGCCGCCCGTCCAAACCAACAGCACACTCAAACCGGCTTATTCCTCTAAATAGTTAACGGCCGTTAGACGGCGGCACTTTACCGTCGTTAAACATTTCCCATCGGAAAAGCGGTCCTCTTGTCCGCTGCAAACAAAACCCGGCCTAGCCCGCCGCCTCGGCGGTGCACACAGGCAAAACAGCGTCAGGCCGCCCGCAAAACCGCGCCACCGGCTTTAAGATAACGCGGGGGGGGGGGGGCTCACCTGGTCTCCCTCCACCTGGACGGTGAGGATGCCCAGCGTGCGCAGCGTGGCGTCACCCTGCTGCGCCAGCTGTCGCAGCCGGAGCGCCGCCTCACGCGGCACACTGAACGTCACGCGCACAGAGTTCCACGGCTCCATCTTGGTCACCACCAGATCGGGCCCTGGCGGAGCGGAGGCCGAGCGTCAGACGCGGCGCCGCCCCGGCCGAAGGCTCACACCACTCACCAGCGGACGGCTGGGCGCCGAAATGAACCCACGAGCTACAGTGACCGTTGTAAATGCCAGTTGCGTCAGACGCTCTGGCCGACAGCAGCATCAGTTCCCAAACAAGTGGCAAGACCTGGTTACCGTCGAACTGCAGCGCTACGTAGTTCCTGGCTCGCACCTGTTTCCGGGACAATACGGAAACGCTTCGTCCCCTTTCACCACCCATTTGGATTAGCACACGAACCCGTCGTGTGGACACGCACCCAGGCGTCGCGGTGGAAACGCGTGATGAGTGGGAGGAAGCCATTATCCGATGGCAAATATTTACAAAGCGGGTTGGGACGCCGCTTTGCAGCACAACCACGTACAGCTTCAGACAATCTGAACAGCAGCCTGCGCGTGGCCTCCCCATTCACGCAACAACAGAGCTATCACACGTACACTGCAGCTCATGGCGTACGGTGAAACAGACGGGCCCACGAGAGGGCCGTGAAATCCCATCAGACACACCCGAATGACTTACAGTGGCAGTGTGTGTTGCGCGGGGACAACACGCACGCGTGCCATTGATCGCGCACCATGACATGACGTAAGCTACGAGGGCGTTATACTAGCCAGTCCGTAACTTGGCCGAGCCGAGCACAGCACCCTCAACAGCAGAGGAGCAAGCTCAATGGGCTTGCGCGCAGCACGGCTTAACGGGCAGGGTGCGAGAGGCCGGGTACGAGCGGAAAGCCACCGGCTCATCGACTATACACTGCCCATCAGAAACCAAGGTCGGATGTCTCTAGGACAGCAAGCAGGACGATATGAAGGTGGTCACGCACAGGTTCCAAATAACAGCACACAGACCAATACGTGAGTGACACTGCATACCGCATGGGTGCGTAAGCACAATGAATACCGCACGACAGACAAAAGATTGCGCAAAAACGTAAAAAAACATCATGCCACGGGACAGCAGGAAAAATTCCAAAACAGGAGAACACCGTGAGAGCACCGGAAGAAGCTGCCATCTGGCCGATGCTGAGAGCAGGTAGCACACATCAACATCAGCCGGCCGACACCGCCCGGCAGAAATCATCCTGCGCCGCTCCCCACGTGCGCAGCGCAAACGCGTCCAGCGTAACACCGCCCGGAGGATCGATACCTCCAACCATACAGTGCTATCAGCGTTATCCGTCGTCCAATTGATGTGCGGGCAAAGCCCTGGCATTTCCTGTCCGCGTAATTGCATGCATGATTGAGGTGCCCAGAATCGAAAGATCGTCAAATACTACACTGTGAGACGACCTTCGATTAGCGGGACTACAGCTCACAAAATATATTTGATAGCCCTTACAGTGAGAAAAGTACCACTCCAACTGTATATAAAGCCCTCATGCAAAGAACCTGTTCATGACAGAGCCACGTTTTATACCCATTTTTGCGTTTCCGAGTAGGTGGCTGAATTTCTTAAGCTCTTACATTTAGGGTGCACTTGCTCATTAATGAGCAAGACTTCTGCATTTGGACATTTCAGACATTCACCATGTAGGGTACATCAGCTTATGAACCTCAACTTCTTAAATGTGTATACATAAGACAAAGCATGGTGATGTAACTTTGATTGTACTCATGTTATAAAAATGCTAGTGATATGACCACTTGCGTAAAATAACAACAACAAAGATTAATCCTCTTCTGCCATCCAAGGGCAAAAGGTCAAATGCTATGTTAATCAATGGCTCTTATACCTTTTTGATTTTGGACAGCAGTCTTGTTAATTGCAAGGTCACCACAGTATTAAGAGTTGCATCCTTACAACCAAGCATCCTTATTGTATTACTGATCACAGGGTTTCAAACATCCTCCAATATTCTTAAACAGCCCATCTGTAGTTACTATAACCATCAGCAACTCAACTCAAGCACCTCATTTTGAGATCTGCAGTAATGCTTTGAAGACCTTATTCCCAACCCCCATCTCTTCTTAATGTTTAAACTAGTTGAGCACAATGCCCAGTGCCTATCCAGCTACAACCTGTCCTTGTGAGGCTCCTGAATTATGCGCTCCTGGTGTTATTTTCAGGATAACCTCTTGCTCTTTACTTCTACACACAAGTATAACACAACACAATAAAGTTGCATTCAGCTCATTAAAGGATTCAGCTACATCTTACCATTTTGAGCATGTGCTGGCTTAACCAAGAATGGAGGTTCTTGCGGTGGTCAAACATTGCCACTACTTGGCAGCCCATACACTAAATTGTAATGTAATTTGCTAATGATCTGTACCAGCAAGCCAACATGAAAGCATCCATACTCATAAACAATTATGGCAGCAATGTATCCACCCAGCTGTATGAATCTAACAGACTCACTATAAATCTGGCACTTACCACACATTTGACCTTCACCCCCAAGAGCAGGACCCATGAGCTGAGCCATCGGCTTACCTATCCCGAGACCTCCGGTGATTCTCTTCTTCAAACGTCGCAGGAGTGATCCGAAGTTCTTCTTAAAACTGGGATCGTCAATATGACCGTCACATGTGATAACTGCTTCCACGATTTCCCCTCCACTATCTTCCTCCATATCTGAAAACAGGGAGGTCCATCTGAAGCCATGATTGAGTGTGACATCTGTATCCACATGCAGTCAGCACAAACATGTGGGAACTTCACAATATCCAAATGCACTAAGATGCAGCTTTGCCACAGCTTAATAACTGGCCAGGGAAACAAGACAGCAAACTATTACAACACAGCACAATCAAAGAGTGATTCCTGGCATTTCCAGTTCACCTGTGCTTTGGCACACCTGTCACAGTATGGGCTGAGTGCTTATCACAATGGCATGGCATCAACCTCTCAGTGCATGCATGGAAGAGGGCTTACTGCATAAAGGTGCAAATTTTGTCGCACAAATACAACCCGAATTGTTGGTAAGAGATACTCCCCTGGCTGTTACCTACTTATTGAAGTAAAACACCAATGAGACACAAGAAAGATAATAGACAAGGACAACTGCCACAATCTAGGGCCTACACAGGTTTCAGCCTTGCAGGTATCCACACATGGGATGTGTTATATGATTTGCATGATCACAACCTAGCAGATAAAATGCACTTTGTGTCCATATGCTTAACAAGTCTCAACTTGTTCCAAACTATAACCACTGAGGTCAGCCCATTCACAAGCACATTGTTTGATTGCTTAACTTGTAAACCCATCTCCCTGCCACATGTTCTACAGAAGAGTGACTTCTTGACAATTTCATCCATTTACACAGGCTAGCCCAAGCACATTACACCTCCACTGGAGTAAGCAAACATGATGTTGAGAACACATGCCAACATCTTGTGCTGTGGTCACAAAGCATCCCAAAGTCAGCCTGCAATCATGAAATGGGCATCTCACTCATGGAAGGTAACCACCATGGAGGTAAGTACAAGGTAGAGATAGGCACCAGGCACTATCCCCAATGAAGAGCACATTAAATATAGCATAAATAATTTCAAATTCCTGCATGTTGTCATTTCATCATTGCTGCAAAATATACCAAATGTGGCAACGCTTGTGGCAGTTCACTTTAGCGAACACCACACGATTTGTAAGGTTTTAGATGCAGGGTCATTGGGGCTTATTGAAAAGGTATGGATGATGTACAAAATTGCATTATTACACAACTAGTCAACTCATCTAACTAGCAATTGCTTAGATATGCTGAAACTATTGAACAACTGTCAGGTAATGGCACAGGGCATACATACTCTTAGTAGTAGTAGGCAGACTAGCTCATAGAACATAATGGACTCATCTGAAATTTTTTGCAGTAATATGCCCTGCCCCCTGATATGCAAATGCACCTTACTACTTACCATGTCTGCCATGAATATAATTTTGTATCCAAAATAGGCATGTCACACACACATCCCACTACTGCGTTAAAACTGGTACAATCTTGACTTTCTGAAGGAGTGGCACTGCTGTCAACCACAGGTAAATGATGGCTAGCTAATGACCAAAACAGTGCATCTATTCATTGATGGAGTCTTACACCAAGCAAGCAATCAGGAATGCTGGTGCACGTTGCCATAACATCATGCAAGCCCCTGCTAATGTTAGATCCACACCAACACATTAAAAGACTGGTAAAGCCTACTGCCCAACACAACATGATCAGGAAATTTACCATGGGGGTAAAATCTGCTGTACATAAATGCTGTAGCAATTATTTCATGTGGTAGTAACACAACATGCAGGATTATTTGGGATGTTCAGATGTGCAACAACTTGTGAACTTCCTCACTAGCTTATTGTCATGGCATGTAACACCCAGACAAAATTAAGCAAGCAATTGCATATGGGTGAGAAACAAAATCTGTTAACACCAGGGAGGATCAGGACTCTGGAATGTAACAATTTCCAGTGGTATGCACTCTTGCACATCACTGCCATATTGTCAAATTTTGGGTTCTGGGGACCAATGACATTTGGTCAAAATTTATACCACATCTCAAATCTTGTAACTTAACTGCAGTGCATAGGAAGATGCAGCTTCCACAAAAACTTTGATACAATGCAAAGAAAACAAACTCAGTTTGTGTATGCCGGATGTTAAGCTGCCAAACTGATTGTGTGTATACCAGTAATCACAGAAAATTGTGTCCACAGTTCTTGAAAAATGCTCCCCATTACTGCTAAGACAACCAAACTTGGCTCACACTACATGGTATCTTTGCCTTGAATTCAGAGGCTTCATTGAGTCAAAGACAACTATTAGCAACTCCCAAACAATTCCAAAGCTCTCTACAAAGCTACAAAATATTTTGGTGCCTAGGTATAGGGTTGGTGCCACCTCGCATGACAAATCAATATACATTTCACTGAACTGCTACACCTGCCCCTACTACCCCACCCAAACAATTATTGAATCTATGCTGATGGCAACCCAGGGCAATTCTAAGTAGAAGCATCCCTGTAAACATGGTGTGGGAATGCTTTGCCTGGCTGAAGCATTTTCACCACTTTTCTTGCATCCCCAGCAGACTCTTCCTGACAGGAGCAGTGGTGATGTAGTAATTAGCATGCCCATCTTTGACCTTTTGATCCTGGTTTTGGATCCCAGCCACAGCACTGCTATATCCTACATGGAGCCTAATAAAGACAGCCCATCTCAAAATGGCTCTGGAAGTCCACATGAAAAGCTGTCTGTTACCATGAACTCTTTGAACATCAAACCATGACACAGTGTGGCCAGAGCTTGATGCAGCATGCAGCACTAAAAATATTCCCATTATACCAACTTTATAAAATAATTATACCCTGAATGTTAGTATATCTGGTATGATTCAATGTAAATCTTATCTGGTTTCAAAACTTCTTGATTTTCCTTCACATGTGGCCATGTAGAATAAACACAGGAACATTGATCCTGAGGCCATTCAGGTACCTGAAGTGGAACTGAGACAACTATGACTTGATATATGGTGAGCACACATTTCAAATTTGAAAATATGCTGCACAGAAACAAAGTAAACATTGCTTCAATGGCAGTAATTTCAAACAGATCAATTGTGAGGCATTGTTTAAAATCGAAAAAAATATGGGTAGTTTTGTTGTCATGTGCTAAGAAAAAGTACATAGGTGTCAGCAATACAACATACTATGACAAAGCTTTAAAAAATTGTATTGTCAGAGGACACAACTATAAATCACATAAAATATGTCAACCAAGATATGCCATGCATGCATGTTGTGCTCTAAATGAGTGGTACTTCTAATTGATTAATGTATGAGCATACATCAGATAAAGAATGGGCTTTACTCTATAAAATCAATGTACCATCACACATTTTTCAATGACCAGCAGTCTTGGACAACTATGAAAATCACATCCTGAATTCATGGTCTAATGCACACAAACTGAATAAAAGCAGAGCATGACATATTAGACACCCTGGCTTCCAATGATAGATTCAGGCAGATGCCAGACTTGCTTGGTCTTTCATGTCTTCAGGTATGAAGCACTATCTTTGTTCATGGCATATTTCCCTATTGCATGCTTATGCAAAAAAGGAAATGTAACTTGGGCACCAAAAAGCAGTGTGTGAACAAATTTATGGCAAAGCATTTATACCAAAAGGTGTGCAATCTATTGGCTTCTGAAACTAGTAACAACTGCACTGGTTTTACAGGAATTTACATTTTCAGTGCCTATTTCAATAACAGCCCAACAAGCACAGCCCTAGAATACCCATATATCATATAAAAAGGCAATCTGTAAATCAAAATATAACAAGATTTTTTTAAACAAGAAGAGTGCATTCAGTTAAGGAGAACTCATAATATATCCCACATGGTTTAAGGTATAAAATGTGGTTCAAGGTATTACATACCTAGGCTATTTATGCCTGAGACACTTCATAAGTGTTTTCATAAGCTGATTAGAAAGTCTGACATTATTTTATCCTGCTACTGTGTCCTTGATCACATACTGAAGAGCACTTCAATATGAACTCAGATGTCATAAGTGCTTAACTTTACTCTCAATCTATGTGTATTCTTAGAAATGATAGCCCAATTCAAGGTTGATAGGTTACTGGTTATTTAAACATAATCTTCAAGTTGAACCTTGCATTACATACTAGTGTTATGCGTATCATAAAACATCATTGTCACAACATGGCTAGTGCATTCACATATTGACTATGAAACTATGCAACAAAGTAATCCAGTTATACCATATGGTTATATTTTGATATCAACACCTCTCACAATACTGGCCCAAGGCTAAAAAATATGTAGATGTCCTCCCAAACTACATGCCTTGCTTACATGATGAAAAGCTAGAGGTAGTTGAGTGGCAACAACTTGACACCAATGTTCATAGATCTCACAACCAGTACTCATTGCTGCATACCAGATATATAAACAGGCTAGCCATGTGCATAGCTGCACGCCCACAAGCATCACAATTTATTAAAAACTTCAGCAAGGGTAGAATAAGGTGTGCTCCACAATTGTAGACAAATGGGAGAGAAATTCTACAGGACCACAGTCCCAGGCTTCCAACAGTACATGTGCATGCATGTGCTATTAAAAAAAAGATTTAAAAAGATGAACATACCGCATCAATGCGCCGTCTACCTCCCAATCAACGGCAATATACTCGGTGAACATCGGTTTGCCAGATTTACGAAACGCCCACATAACACAAACCGGTATCACACCAATGATGCACGTATGCTCAAAAATAGCCCTTGAACGTCAAGCTCGAAACTGTTTCTGTAATTCGAAGAGGTCTCCGTACTCACCCAGAAAAGGAAGAGGAGGAAAAACGAAAATGCTTTTTCAACCTCATATGCGCCACCTAACAATAACAAAATCCGCCATTTGCAATGTAGTAAACGCGCATGCGCGGGCCTGGGCAAAGAACGGCGACAAGCGTCAGTATTCGGAAACAAATCTAGTAGGAAAATATTCATGCTTTTCAAAACTACAACACTATAATTATTATCCAGTGTGAAATGCATGAGAAAATGACCCTGGTTTATGAACATAATTGTTTCAACACGACATTCTAAAATATGTGACAATGAGAAAAGAATTAAGTGTGATGCCAGCAGGTAGAATGAGCTTTATCATTTTCCCACATTAATGCTCCGAGCCAATCTTTGAATTGATCCGGCGTCAACTCGACGAATATATTCCATTTAGCCTGCAGGACGGGGCACATATGATTGGGCTATTCGACGCAAATTTTTACTCACGAACACAAATCCATTTGTCATACATGAGCTGGATATATTTTGCACAATCATAAACATATCAGATATATCTAAACCCCGTATATTCGTAGCCACACAAATGATGCGTGCAAAGGCCATTCTTTTTCGTAAAAAAGCTTGGAGCCTGAAGCGGGCCGGCAATTATTAATGTGCTAAAAACATCTAAATTTTCATTGGTTTATGGCACATATGACATCATTTTTCACCATTAGAGCACTTTGATTCGTAGGGGCGTGAGGTTTCTCTTATTTTGACGTAACTAAACACCAAAATTTTATAGCAAAAGAAATCCACTTTCGTAGCAGCTTGCCACATCAACCCGCGTTGGACTGTTTCCGCCTGTGTGGTGACCGGGCGTTGGGGGTGATTTGCGTGCGGATAGTTCGGGAGGCTGGGGCGGCCGTTGAATTGGCGTGTCTCAGTGATCGATGGGAACGAGTTGTTGTTATTGATACGCATCTTCCTGTGGTATTTCTGTCCGTTTGTGAAGTGTAGTTTGCCAAGATGGTGTTGGCTGCGAGTGCAGACATATGGATAGAGTATGCTGCACCGATCACAGTGGTTACTTTTGTGCTCTTCGCTGTGATCGTATTTGTGTATGGTATTGGGATAGGATTAAATCGCAAACCAGCTGAGCCAGTGTTTTTAGATTTTCAAGCCCCTCAGACTGCAAAAAAGCCAAAGAAGAAGCAAAAGTCTAAGAGTGAAAAGAAGGTGGGTGAAATAAGTTCAAGCCAGTATGGGGAAACTATGGCAGGGACATTGGTAGGGTTCTTCATCCTGCTTTCATTATGCCTTTGTGCCACTTTGCATCTAGCCTGACATAATAATTGGGATGACCAATGCTATCTGTGTTGTGATGATACCATGGATTGTTTTGCTCTAGGTTTTCAGTGAGGGAAATGTGTGATTATATGTCTTAACATATTGTTTTAAACAAAATGCTGAAAGGTCTGCTCCAGAATATAGACAAGATATGAGAGATCCAGTGATCAGTGGCCAGTTAGATTTCCAGACATCTGGTTAAAATCTTGTGTAATTATGAGCTGTTCAGTTTTTAGGTGAAGGTCTGTTGTCTTTGAAACCATCTCAAATCCCTGAGTTCTTGGGAAAATATTTACTGAATGTTGTAGCATATAAAATGTATAATCTAGTTGTATGGCAAAAGTATTGCTTCAGCAAGTTATGTTGCTGTGTCATAGCCAGGTGACATTCAGCACCATTGTAAAATCAAACTCAGACTGGTTGCTGTGTTTGTGATCCGCAGCTAATCTGAACATTTTAGGTAGAGCAAAGGCTCTATCGGGAGATGTATCATGGAAAATCTGTCTTGGCTACATTTAATTTAAGATATTGGTTTCAGACTTATATATCATGTTGCAGGCATCTAAGATACCTAAAGGAGTTGCATCTTGCCTTATATGCACTGCCATCAACTCAGCAAATACTAACTTTGAAACATTACTATGGGATGGCACATTGCTACAAGTCTCTTAGGATGGCACCCTGCTACATCCTTTTTGTCAGATTTGCATTCATTTAGGATATGTCCCGACCCTCCTGCAGGCCGTGAAGAAGCTGGCTGAGCCTGCTGCAGCCAAGCCAGAGAGCTCAGAGAGTGTGTCACCGACCGACAAGCCCAAGCCAAAGGAGACTGCAGCCCCAAAGCGGGACAAGGCAGCTGATGACTGGAGCCAGGTGGTGCCGCGCCGTGCCAAGAAGGGAGCGGCCGAGCCGGCGGCGGACGCTGCGCAGCTGGAGGCGCTGACGCTGGCCGGTGACGCCAAGGCTGAGGAGTCAGCAGGTGGGATGGAGGACGGGTGGCAGCTGGCCGGCCGGCCGGCGCCGAGATGAGGCGTGGATGGTGGTTTGTGTATCTTATTCAGAGTGAATTTTTTCTGAGAACCTTGTGGAGCACTCATCGACCTGAAAATAACTGCCACGCTGACTGGTGCTTCTAGAAGCAGCAGTTGTAGTGAGAGGCGCTTCGGTTTTTGTCGCTGTTTGTCGTCGACTTCTCTAAAAATCGCAGTCCGGCGTTGATGTCGCTCCCCGGCAGTTTCAAGCCACGTACTAGCCAGACGTGCTCGATTTACAAAGCGATCTTTGTGATCTAGATCAGGCTTTGAAAGACCCGATATGATCTGAGATCCATGCTTGGGATGCATGATTACAGCTAATCTGATTCCAGGTCAGGTCATTGGTTACCAGTACCGGTAATAGCCAAATTTGGTAACCTGCGATTAGCGAACTGGGGACCAGTAACCAAACCATTCGCAAATGGCCGTCCCCATTACAGCGTCGCCCTGCGGCGCCTATCACAGCTGTGTCCCACAAGTGTTTCCCCTATTGTTGTGGTGGTCTAGTTTGCGTGCGGTGTTGCGCAAACTCCACTAGCAGCAAAAGTAATGGGCATGAGAAAGCTCCGTTTCCCGCTAGACTGGTGAAGGTGTTCCGCGCAGACGGAGCTGGGATTGAGCGAACCGGTCGGATCTGGCTCGCTTGGGTCGAGAGTCTATGTCAGCCAAATAGCTCAGTCGCTGCCCTTCCCAGCTCCGGACTTCCCGGAAAGGGAGAGCGCGCTTCGAGACACGTGGCTTGTGTGAGGGCGTGCGTCGTTATCAGTTTTCACGGATGGGGTATTGGGGGCAACACTTTCCCGGGGCTTGTGCGCCTGTCCTGTTTGGGCCTGGCAGTTAACTGTATTTGAAGTGCGTCGTGTGCACTCGGAGCCCGATGGGTGTAGTCATATGTAGTTTTCGAATTTTCATACTGTCAGTTGCAAGTTGTTGATCGTGGAGCGTTACTGTAATATTCACACAATGCTAATAGCGTCGTGGGCTCGGGAAATCATTACGTCAAGGACAAAGATCATTGACCAAAGTCAGCTAAAATCCGCGTTATTACGCAACATGTGCAAAGGTTACATCCGAAGGGGACGCAGTGGACACAGTGAACTATCGCTAGTAGTACACTCGTAGGGAGTCACGAAATTTCTTACTGGTTCTTGTGGTAAACCTGCTGTGGTATCCTTGTATCCTTGTTTGTATTCCTGTTTTTACGGTGATGCATTTTCTATGCAGTGTGGTGCTTTTTCGCCTCCGTGGCGTGGGGAAATCATGCGGCTCAGGTGCACCCGGCACAAGAGCTTGTGCGCGGTTTGTCCCACTGGCAAGGGAAGGTTATTTTGCAGCTGTTGGGCCGGACACGCAACGGCCGGCTGATAGCAGGAAAACGGTACCTCGCGGCCCCGTCTGGCAAAACAAGGCCGAAGGCTGAGATATGCGATGTATTGGAACGAGAGCGCAACTTGGGAGATAGGCTAAGGGGTTTGCTCGGCAGGTCGCTATCATATCTGTGACGTGTCAGCTGATATCGAACAGTGACGTCACCGCAACACGAAATGGGTGCTGAAGCATCGGGATGATGCAGGTTAGGGATCGTTTGGAAATTACGGTACACATTTTTGGCCATTTGTCGATCCTCGCCACCTGGTTGCGCAGTGGTTTCGCTGGTCGATCTCGCCGTCCTTTTCTGTTCGCGCCGTGCTAAACGTAACGTTGAACAGGGTATCGTACGTTCGGCCCCGAGAAGAGCAAGAAACAAAAAACGGACGTGTCGCATGGCTTGAGAGGAGGTTGACAGTGTTGGCCTTAGGGCTTTATATATTTGAATAAGGGTTAAGCTTGATATCCAGCCGCACCTGAGCGTAACATGGCGCTGCCTAGCATCCTCCCCGGTGTCATGCTTCGTTTGTGCTCCCATCAACCCCGCATCTCCTCCCTCTCCGTGCGTAACATCATTTGTGGACGGTCCGCTTCCCTGATATTGTCATGCAAAGTTCTTAAGTGTAATAGTTCAGTGTCAAATATGCACCAGAAGGCAAACGATCAGTATTGGGGTTGAACCGCCGCCAAAATTCGCTGCCAAAAACTGCTGCTGGAAACTGCTGCCAAAAACTGCAAGTATCAATAATACAAAAATGCAAGTTATGTATCAATATTGCCCCAAGAACCGATTGCAGCATGGGGAACCAGCAACAGAAGAAGGGAATCGTTCAAGGCATATTTTCACTCGTATGCGCATGATGCGTTAATACTAACATGATAGGCGTATAATTGTATTTAGGACTAGCGGGAAATGTGCCTTTCGAGGAGATACAATTTCACGTGACTGGTCCGTCGCGCCCAGCATGAATTCAAGCGGTTTTTGTCCGAACGGTCTGTGCCACTCTCGCTTCAGATTCGGGCATTGCCAACGCCTCGCCCAACAAAACCAAGAAGAAGAAAAAGAAGGCCAAGTCTTCGCAGGAGGAGGAGGCGGCGGCAGCGCCGGCGCCGGTGAAGCCGGCCGCGGAGAAGGCCGCCGCCGCGACGAAGCCGGCTGTGGAGAAGACCGCCGCTCCCAAGTCGTGAGTGCTGGTGTCCGCGAGCCTTGGCCGGCCGGCGCTCTAGGCGGGGGTGCCGGGCCGACCCCTAGCGTGAGGCGAGGTCGAGACCGCTCGAGGAGGAAGCACCGTCGCTTGAAGTGTTTGTCGGCGCGGCGTCGGCTGTGCCGTGCTACATTGGGAATGCGTGACGTTAAAGCTCCCAGGGGATTTTAGGTGTCGTTTGCGAGGCGTCTTAAATGCATCACCAGCCCTCCCGCGTGCGTCGTTTTGCGCTGATTTTGAATAGTGAGAGAACGTCTGTAGAAGGGGATAGGGCGCTCTGTACAGGGATTGTAAAGGCTGCGCATAATTACGAAAGTGTGGAGGAATGCCGTCAAAACCTCTGGCCTGTGAATTCGAGGGGGACTGCCGCGTTGTGGCGCAGCACGGCTTCGGCCGGGACGCGACCTGACCTTGACCCGTTCCAGCGCCGCCCAGCCGAGGACGGACGAGTTCACCACCGTCTCCAAGAAGAAGAAGGGCAAGAAGGAGGAGCCGCCGCCGGCGGCCAAGCCGAAGCCGACCGGGCCGCTGACCCAAGATGACCTCTTCAGCAGCGGCAACGGCAAGCGGGTGCGTGCGCGGCGTATTCGCCGCGCTGCGAATGTCGCAGTGGTGCGGCGGTTAGCTCGGTGACTGGGCACACTGCTGTTATAAATGTCAGTCACGGGTGTAGATAACAGCGGTTGGCTCATGTTTTTGCTTCACTTCGTGACAGTACCTGCGGGCTTAAACGCTGAAACGGCTGAAGAGCTTCACGCGCGCATGGTGCGTCAGTGGGGCATGTGTTGCTGGTGTGTTTTCAGATCGATCCCAACTTTCTCAAAAAAGAAAATAGTCTAGAAAGAAATGAAAAGAGCATGGGCCTGGGAACATCGTCCACAATTGGCAGTTGGCTGGCAGCCGGGGCAGAATGACGCGCTGGAAGGGCTCGACTGGAGCGAGCTCCAGGGCAGTGGCACAGGCCGTCCAGCTGGCGAGGCGGCGGTGTCGACTTGGCGCGTTGTCGCTCGCGTTGGGGTCCGCTGTGACCGTGCCCGCCACCGGCCGGCAGATTCTGAGCCTGGAGGAGGCCATGGCGGTGGTGCTGAAGCATCAGGAGGTTGACCAGAAGGGCCCCGAGACCCCGGCGCCGGCGCCCAAAGCCGCGCCGCCGGCCCCCGAGCCAGAGCCGGAGCCGGCCGCCAAGTCGAAGGCGAAGCCGGCCCCGAAGCCGAAACCGGAGGCTGAGCCGCCTCGTGCGGCCGAGCCGAACAAGGTGAGGCGACGCCGGCTGGTTCGGTCTGAAGGGGTGCCCGAGGCGGGTCGGGTGCCCCGTGCACGGCAGGGGCGGCGAGTGTCCGGGGCGTTGCACTCATGCTCGTGCGCTGGGTTGTTGTGCTCGCGAGCTCTCGAGACTGCGCCTTGTTCCCCCGATAAGGGGAGTCGGGAGGGGTTATCTTCGCTCCGCTGTGATTCAGCTCGGTGTCGTCGGTGCTCTCGTGGTACGTTCGTTGGACGGAGGCTTGCCTGTTGCCGTTAGGCGCTACGGTGTGAACGTTGGTAAAAAATGGGGTCATGCAGAACAAACATACCGTAGGGTCGCGATTACTTATCACCGATTATCAGTATCTACGAGTTGGTGGGGATCCATCCAGAAATGAATGGCGTTGTCAAGTCTCTTGCTTTTTGGAGAGGGCCAGGCTAAAATCGGACGGCGAATCAACTTTTACAAGCCCTCGCCAGATCAGCCGTCCGGTAATGGTCGCCACCGTAAGACGTGCCCCCATCCTCCCGGCGTGACCGGGGGATGTGAATGACGTCGTACTCCTGTAAGGAAACTTATAGGGAAAGGCCTGGTTTGGTAGGAGTTTGTTGCAACCCAGCGGGGTCCCGACCCCGTGGTTGGCGCTGTCCGCCGAGCCGAGCGGGCCGGCGCGGCGGGACGTGCACTCTGACGGTGTCGCGCCGCTGCCGCCAGCCGGTGACCATCGAGGAGATGATGGCGCGCCTGCAGGCGGGCGAGGACATCACGCAGCTGACGTCGGCCCGGCCGGCCGCCGCTGCTGCCGGCGAGGCGGCGCCTCCGGCCGCCGCCGCCGCCGCCCAGAAGTCCGAGCCCAAGGCCAAGCCGGCCGCGCCCGTTAAGCAGAACGCGGCTTCCGACGCACAGGGAGGTGGGTACGGGAAGCCATTCGTGGGCTGCTGCTCGGTGCGCTTTGGCGCGGGAGATTGTGCGCAGAGGCTAGGCAAGCGTCGGTACTTGTGGCGCTTTGGAGTTCGCCGTGAGATGCATTGCAATTGTCATGAATCACGTCTTTGTCCAGGCAAGGCAAGCTCGCGCCGTGTGGGTGTCGCCCGTTGCTCCTCGACTTACGTGCGCCGTAACACGGCCGGGCGCCGTGGACCTCACGCCCGCCGTGCGCCCCGCAGACTCCTGGACCGAGCAGAAGCCCAAGAAGAAGAAGAAGAGCCGGAAGGACTAGCGGCGGCCGGCGGCGGCCCGGCGGCATATCAGCGCGGCGTCACGAGGCCCGGGCCGGGGCCGGGTCTTCCTCGTGTGCGCCGTCTGTGGTTGAGGGCGGCGGCCGGAGCCGAACGCCCGGTGCGCGCTGTTCCTGTTGTGACGGTGGGCTGGATCGGGTGGGGGTTGTTGGTAGGTAGTTGAAGAGTTGGCGCTGCCTTTCGTGTCGCTGCGTGCGCGGCCAGGCGGCTGCTGCCGCGTTTCTCCCGCCTCGAGCGGCACGCGCAGGCCTCTCCCGGCAGGAGCCGCCTGGCCCGTCGTTTTGCAGGTCGCCGACAGGCGGTGCCGGGAGCAGTGCCAGCGGTTCGAGAGCTGGCCGCTCGCGGCGCCACCATCGCACGCGTTTTCTTGGGTGTCGCTGGCGTGCGGCGACCGCCTTTCCGTTTGTTATCTGTCCATCACGTAGCTTCTTCCACTGAACTAGGTGCCAAACGCACGATAGCACCTATTTTTGTATGCCGATTTACGGAGCGACCGCGATAGGCCGGCGACTTCACCGCGAGGGGGAATGTCGCGTGTCCAAATCAACGTTCGCGTCTGCGCCCCCAAATGCGTGCGGCGCGCGGTTCAGCTTTCACCAGAGGGTCAGCCCTGTGCAGCGTCCCGACCCCCTGTGATTCACCTGGGGCCCCCGGCGGCCCGTGACTGGCCGGCTCCGTTCGCGCACGTTCACATTCCATTGGCAGTAGACGGTGCAGCCTCTGCCCAGCGGCTGGTTGTTGCTGTTGACCCTGACAGGGGTTGGTCTTGACGGGCCGGGCCGCCGCCAAAGACCATTCCATGAGCTCGAGCGTCCCTGGACATACGCCCCCTTTCCCACCCGTTGTTAAGAGTGCAGCCGGTTGAGGCGGCTCGCGCATGCGCACGCATTTGACGAGTTGTGCAATAACGTGCATACTTAAACAGCGGACGAGCGAGCGCCCCACGCGTGCCCATAACGACTTGGCATGAATTTGCACATAGGGCGTCGGTTTTTAGGCTAGGCGTGTTGAAATGTGCAGCACGTGCCGCCATATCGCCACCTAAATTATCTTTTCATATTCACTGTTGGGAGTCGCACTGAGGATACGGCACCCAGAGTTTATCAGCACGGGGTTGGTTTGCGAGCCGGCGGCGCGCGGTCTGGAGTCGCGCGGGGTTCCGGTGATTGTACTCATCTGTAGGTCGGGTTTTCCGGCCTGCCGGGCGGACTGGGCCCCGGACAATCCCAGGCGGCCGTCGGTGGGTCGTCGTCCCCGGGCGGCAGCCGAAGCTCGTCGGCCTCTCCGGCTGGGCGGCTGGCGACGCCCCTGCTTTGGACGACGCTGAAGCGCCCGCCTCCCTCCCGCCGCGCCGTCGGAGACGACCGCGCCTGCCGCCGCTCCAGCCTGGCGGTCGGTCTGCGCGGGTCTCGCGCCACTGGCCATGGGACGCCGCGCGCTGGCCGCCGACCGGTGCGGACTTCTGCGTTGTCCGGCTTGGAGCGGTGCCGTCATGTCGCGCGACGGCCGCGGGCCTCTGCTGCGGCCTGGGGGCGCGGCAGCCGCCCGGCTCCGGTGCGGACCGGCGTCGGGGAGCGTCGGCACCGCGGCCGCCGGCGGTGGGGGCGTGAGAGATTGCCTGCGGGCGGCGACGTGGACTCGAACTCCGCCCGGGCGGTGCTGTGTCCTGGTAGCCTCCAGACGGTGCTGGCCTGGACAGCATCGCCGTGCCCGAGCAATGGTGAGGTGTTGTCTATTGATGCGTACTATTATCAAGCATATATTTATATCCCAAATGGTGGCAAGGTTCGTGGTTGATCTGACTGTATTTTTGCAGCCGTAAGGTGTCGGAGGAGCCGATGACACGGGGAGTCCCGCTGTTTGCGTTTGTGATTGGAGGAGCGGGGCGACGGTGGGAATCTTGAGTATTACCGCGACATATTTTTTCCGGGATGTACAGGTGGTGTGTTGTCTAAGCCTTCCTAATTTGATACACAGTGACTGGGGAGCGCTTTGTTTTCGTTGGACGGTCCGGTCAGAACGCCTGTCGAGGCCGACAGTGCAGCGTTTCGACTGCGCCTGCGCGGCTGGGCGAGCACGTTGCGGCGAGCAGCTGTTTATCGCAAGGAACGATCGCGGTCCGTGCAGCACGACGGCGGACTCAGAATGCTGGTGCATCCTGCTGATGCGGTGCCAGATGTCAAGTGCCTGCTTGTTAGACCTGTTGCGGCTGTTCTCATGAATGATTTAGTTGGCTTAGATGGGAGAGGGGGACTCGAAGCTACTAAATTCGAAACGAAGCGTAAATTCAGACCTGAAGCAAGGCTACGTGGTCTATAATAGGAAAGACGACAGAAAGCGTGCTGGTGTTGAATGGCTGGTGAGGGAGTTCCAAATAGCGAGGCAACAAGACCGGAAGCCTTGCATTCTCAGATCAATAGACACCACGTTAGAACAGTGACAAGTCCCGGATGAGCACAAGACAAAACGACGACTAGAGACTTTGATCACACCTTTCATTTCAGTGCACGCGTCGCGTCAGTGATTTTTCCTACCGGGCCACGAATCACCGATGTTGGCTCGGGTCCGGTGGTCGTTTTCTGCGCCCTGGATTTCTACGGAAGGTGCGTGACCCGAAGCTGAGATTCAGACCGCTCTGTAAGCCATCAATCCAGCAAACCCTTCGGAATTATCCGCGCCCGCATCGGTGTTTTGCCGTCCATAGTCAATCCGGTGGGCACTTTTGAACTTGAACCTGAACCTGGACCTAAAGGCCGCTACCGAACGCTCTCACGGAAGCCCAGTGGTCGGCGTGGTTCAAGCACACAGTTGGCTCGAGCCTCCTCTAGGTCGTGGAGGCCGGCCCGGAGCGGCGCTGGTTCCTGGAGCTCTTTACGAACCCCTCGATTATTACATGGCTGCTAGGCTAATCAGCTTCAGGGGCGTCATCTTGTATGGTTTCCTAGGTTTAGCTTTGGATAGTGACTACACGTGCAGGGCGGTGCTGTTGATTCACAGGGAGTAGTGCTACACGTAGATTCGCATTTTTTGTTAAAATTCAACACCTCGCGAGCATGTAATTCGCGATATATTCGTACATATGATCGTGAAACACGGCATCTCGATAAACTTCGTAAAGAATTACGCCGCTCATTACGCTCAGAGCTTTCGCCATTCGAGTGCCATCCGGCCACTTAATCTGCTCGGTGTCCAGACCAAAGTCTAGCCCAATATCACGCGGCACGCCACTCGCGTGCTGGAGCAGGAGTCAGGGAACCTCCAAAGCTTGGTTGTAAGCTTCCCTTTTTCTGCAGCACTAAGGACATTGCAGCCAAGCGTCACTGCTGTGTACAGTTTTGGGATTTCATGCCGGCATATCTGTTTTATCATCGCTACGCGGTTGAGACGGCTCCTGACGTCCCCGCCACGCACCCAGTTGCTAGTCGGAGCCTCCCGCCCCACCCGCCCCGTCCCCACCGCCCCCCCCCCCCCCTACCCAGTGAGCAGGCCGTCGTCCCCGCCCGCGGCGTGCCCCGCCCGTCGTGGCCCCAGCTCGGTGTCACACGTCGTCGGGCAGCGCTTGCGCCAGCATCAGCGCCACGTCCTCGGTCCGACGCAGCACGCGCGGGGTCTTCATCTGGCTCCAGTGCGCCTGGCTGCGCGCGGTCATCGCCTGGCGCAGGCGCTGGAAGGCGCCCGACGCCACCTGGCGCACGCGCGCCGGCCCGATGGACTCCGAGGCGCGGTAGCGGCGGTAGTTCTCCAGCGTGCGTTGCAGGCACGTGTCCACCTGGGCCGGAGGCACGGGCGGCCTCAGCGATGTTGGGCATAGGGACAGGTGAACACGGCGCTCGAGGCAGATTGCTCTAGTCTGCTGCGTAGAAACTGAAGTGGTAAGACAGAAGTGATAGTCTTATTCCTCGGAGCAAAAAAAAAAACAACAAAAAACAGGAGAATGGAGATGTAGATGTGTTGATAGTTCGGCAACATGCCTTAATCGGAACGAAAAGCAGAAGTGAATAACGTTATTACTACTGTCTTATCTATGCAAATAGCGTTCCTCGTAAATGCGCTTACCGACTTGCGTAAGTTCAGATGGTTGTCGCAAGTCGCAAAACTCGCGCGTAAATTCAGGTGCGTTCGTGGTAGACGTGTGCTTGTCATTGTCGACCGAATTAAAGGATGTCTCCAAAAACATCGTCGATATCATCGCGGTAGCCCAGCCCCCAAAATTCACAGGAGATGCCGACCAACGTGCACGTGAAATGTGTGCCCATACGTTGTCCACCCAGCGATTACAAACCATGGCCGTCTGCTCCTTGGTCAACGCCGAGCCAGTCGTGGCCAGGAAAAAGAGGTAGTATGGCGCGGAGCCGCTAGATGTCGGGTCGATCAGGCTCTCGGCGGCGGTGAATTCGACCAGCGTGGTGTCGGGCCAGCTGGCGGCGGCCGCCTCCATCGCCTTGAACAGCGCCCGCTCCGACACCTTTTCACCTTTCACACTCAGAAGCTGACCCGCCCTGCCGGCAGCAGAGGGCAGGCGTCAGTGGGCGGAGAGAGAGGGGGGGGGGGGGGGGCGAGCTTTATAAAATTCGCTGAGGCCAAATTCAAGGACCAAATCCCCTCTAAAATCTCTGGTCACACTAACAACTTGTAGAAAGCATTTTTAGAGGGGTCATTAAAGCGTCGTATTGGGAGGTGGCATACAATGGAGAACCAAAGACCCAGGGGGACGTGAGGCTCCGCCCATGTAATTGACGTCACCGGCCTAGAGGGCCACGCGTCCAATGGCGTCTCCTAGCCCGGCAGTACCACACAGAATGTCTGCACAGTTCGAGCAGCAACGGTCGTGAGTGACAGCCGCCGTCAGCCAGACCCCGGGAGAGCGCAGAAGGGACCGAGACGGCTTTCGAAGTTATTCGAGTGCTAAATGCGACTGTCGCGTTCAGTCCAGGCCTGGCGAGCTGTCAGTCCGTTCAGCCAAGGTACCCGTACCAAGAGCAGGTAATTGCATTGAAGCCGTATGTAGCCTCGGAAACGTCCTGGACAGTTACCAGTTGCTACTACCCGTCCACGATTCCAAGCCTCCGTTATGATTTATGCTAGACCAGTCCGCACCCTCGCCTCACCGTCAGCCCTGACCGGCCTGCACCGCCGCCCCTGACCTGTAGCGGAACTCCACCACCGGTGCCTGGTTGTGGAAGCCGCACACCCGCACCACGTCCCCAATCCTGTAGCGGTAGAGACCGGTGGCGTTGGTGACCACCAGCTCGTATTCGGCGCCCACGCGGACCTGGTCAGCCAGCAGCAGCCGCGCAGCCAGCGGATCCCACTGGTCCTGCTGGTCCTGCTGGTCCTGCTGCTCCTGCTGCTCCTGTTGGTCCTGTTGGTCCTGCTGGTTTCGCTGTTTCTGTTGGTTCTGCTCTTCCCGCTGGTCTTCCTTGTCCTGCTGGTCCCGCTCGTCCCGCTGGTCCCCCTGTTCCTGCTGGTCCCACTGTTCTCGGTCGCGCCGATCCTGCCGCTGGTCCTCCACCGGCAGAAACTCGAACAGCGTGGCGCGGCCGAGCAGCGTGAACGTGGGCACGGCGGCGGCCGGCGCCAGATTGATCCCAAGCCGCGCTTCCGTGCTGCAGTAGGCCACGTCCAGCACCGGGACCTCGCCCAGGTAGCGCCGCGCCAGCCGCGTGTACGTGGCGCCGGCCAGGCCGCCACGCGCCGCCTGCACGAAGCGCAGACGCGGCCACACGCGCGCAACGATCATCTCGAAGCCGCGCCCGAAGTGCGCGCGCAGCTCGGCGGCGCGGCGCGGAGCCGGAGCCAGGTGCGTGTTGACGCGCGCCAGCAAGTCAGGCGGCAGGAGCAGGTGGTCGCCGACGTGACCAGCGGCCAGCTCGGCCACCAGCGTAGGCCAATGCCGCTCGAGCGTGTGCATCGCCGACAGGAAATGCTGGATGAAGTTGCAGAACATACCGTGCAGCTGCGGGTCCAGCAGCGCGAACAGCAGCGCCAGGTAGACGGCGGCCACTTCCGAGTGAACCTCCTCGACGCAGGCGGGCGTGGCGGCGCGCAGCTGCGACAGCGGCGACCGCTGCAGCATCAGCGCCAGAGAGCAGATGGGCTTGCCGGAGGCGCTGACGGCCGAGCTGGGCCGGGACGTGATGCCCAGCGTCCTACCGATGGCGCCGCCGCCGAAGCGCCACTCGGCTGGCGCAAACACGCCGGCCGTCACGCCTAAGAAATGCCTGATCTCGCGGCGGCACACCGGCACGTGCTTGTTGCCGCCGGTGGTGCCCGACGACACCCCGAACAACAGCACGTCGTCGTCGGCGAGCAGGGCGTCCTCCTGACCACGCTCGGCGGCGGCGATGTAGCGCGCGTAGTGCCGGTACTCGGTGACGGGGTGGCGGGCGCGGAAGTCTTCCAGCGATCGCATGGCGGCCAGCTGGTGGTCCCGACCGTACTCCGTGCCGGCGTTCACGCGCAGAGTGCGCTCGATCAGCTGCCGCTGCTCCTGAAACGGTCGCGGCTGCTGCGGTGGGACGCGGTGGTGCTGGTGCGCGGCTGGTGCGGTGGTCGCCGCGGAGAAGTTTCGCGCTAGAGCGTCGCGGTTTGGGGATAGGTTTGATCAAGACAAGAGCCCATGTTGAAGCTTTGTAGAAATTCAAAGGGGCTTTGTGATTTCATTCTTTCGATACAACGACACCATCGAAAGAGTGAAAGGCCTGACATCATCGTTGGGGATGACGTCATGCCGTCATATGACGTAATATGAAACGTTGGGGATACGACCGCGTGCCTTTAACAGGAAAGTTCCCCGCATGTTGACACGTGGTGTTGACGTGATTACCATTCATTCGTTTTGACTTTAATCTTCGTCGCTTTCGGAGGGCGCCACAATACGGCCGTGCCACCCCGGCAGTTCGCGGAACAGAAACGACGACACACAGCAGTTATAAACACTGATAGATGATGCCTTCGCTCCGTCAAACAGCACACATGATGAATCAGCTGCCTCGGCGATATGCACAGCATGACGGAATCCATTTAAGAATTACAGTCCGCTGAGAAAACATGTCGCCGCGAATACTCTCTCCCATCGCCACGCTACTCATCACTGAATCCGTCCACGGATTTTTCACAGCCAGAGTCTGATTATAAACGCACCTCTCGCATCTGGAAGCTCAGCCTCAGAGGCAAGCGACTGTCTCAGTCTACACGCGGGTCGACGGTGGCCACGTACCTCCATGAAGTTCCGTGTAGTCTGCTCGAAGCGCCAGCCGTAGTATAGGGCGACAAGATCCATTATTCTCAATACAGCGTATATCCGCAGCTGGCGGCCGAGTGACAGCTGGGAGGACCGCTCCCGCCGCAGGAAGTCCCCCAGCAGGTACAGCACGATCGCCAGGCCCACTGCAGAACAGCGTGGAGGGTGGCTCTGGCTCAGTTCAAGGAAGGCAACTCAATACTAGTCCTGAGTCAGCTGATCGGCTGCCCAGCTGATCGGCGCACTGATCAGCGCGCTGCCCAGCTGATCAGCGCACTGATCAGCGCATTGCCCAGCTGATCAGCGCACTGATCAGCTGGGCAGCTTGACGTCACGTATCACACAGTGAACTCTCACTGACAGGCGTCAGTCATGGGAACAAAGTCAGCTTCGGTCTCGATTTCACCAAGCTGTAGGTTCCCTCGTATTGTTTTGGGGTTGGGCTTCGGATCGAGTCATTTCCACAGCTGACTTCGGCTTCGTGCCATTTTAAACGGTTGGCCTTTCATTCGGTTTCTTTTTCTTTTGTAATTATAGTTACGGTTACGGTTTCATGCGACCTTAAACGTTGCAATAGGACCCACTATTTTGGGGAAAATGTCTTGAATTTTAAGGTAGCTTTCCGGCCTTAAAGGTAACCTGCAACCCTCAAATGATTCGCGGGAGGGGCTCTAGGATCCTTAGGACCACCTCCCAGGTCTCAGGTCTCAGCCTACTCAACCTTGGATGTGGGTGGTGACAGTTCGGGGGCGGCGATCAGCGTGGATAAGGCGGAATGTGGGTGTGTTTACAGACTTTTTGAAGTGGAAAACAGCATCTGTTTGCCAGAACTTAGGTATGGATGAGTGAATGTCACCACCATTGATGCATATCGAGTGGGCCAAACATGGCAACGTGGACCACAGCCCAATGTCAGCTATCTCAGAAAGATCAGTCCGCTGTGTCGGCAATGAAACGTGTGAGACGGCGAGAATGAGACCTTTTTCTGAAGAAGTGAGGATCTCATTTACTAAACGGTAATTGGAATCTACCTCTTTCACTGGCTTTGATCTGCAACCACAAACAACAAGAGCAAAACGTTAAAAATATCAAAGAAGGAGAAAGTCAATGTCGCGCATTGGCCGCCATTTCACACAGCCCAGGCCGGCGGTATCGCTGAATCAAGGTCCAAGTATTCCGGCTCCGGAATTCGCACTAACAGCACGGGGCACTGTGCCCTGCAGGGCACAGTATCTGATTATCCTTGTGCAACGTCGTAAACGCTTACCAGTGAAGGCCAGAGTGAGTTACTGTTGACGCCGTTATGTTTCGCGTGGCAGGAGAATTAAATGCCCTGCTGGACAGCTGCCCGAGGGATGTGCTCTATCCTTATTGCCGGGATTGCATTTGCCGCAGTGCACTGCCACTACACCACTGCAGTAGCGCAGTCGGAGCGCTGAGTGCATGGACACCGCGGCAATCATGCAGCGATCAGTTTTCGAAATCGGCCAGTGCTGTGGTTTCGCTGCGAAAGGGCGGTGCCGGGCTGCGCGGTCCGTGCTTCAGAGCTTACTCAGCTAACAGTTTGGCGGAAAGCGATTTCGCACGATAAACGATTCGTGACGTCCAAATGCGTCGAATGTCACCGTTTGAAGCATGTCACATCGACGTGAGAGGCAAACACAAGCCCGTCTGGGGCTCGATAGCCGTCCGGCGTGAAAACTAGCCGCTGCTGGCACTTGACCTTCAGCTTCAGGGCCGACCCAGCTCAGTCTCCGGCTGGCTCTTCGGGGCACAACGGGGCATCGTTGAAGGGACAGATGGGCATGCTGAACGGGCCCTGCAGAGCGCGGTACGGAAACGCAGCCAGCACCTGACTCTCAGAACGGACGATCAGAACTGACAGGACGGACAGGAGGCTCAGAACCACTTCTTAAGGCCCTACTTGACGAGGGCTGGGGCGATATCTGGCTGCTTGGCTGTTCAAGCACGGGTACATTATTCGGAGTCATTGGAATAGTAGTAGTACGGACCCACGCAAGCTTTCCGGCATGCGGCGGGCACCACATCCCGCCTGGAGCCTGTTTGCGACGCAGGCGGGCGCTTTTGCGACGCGAGCGAGGCGGATCTCAGGTCACGGAGGTCGGCGTGCCGCCCGCCCAGCAACACGCGTCTGCATACACGGCCCCGTCGCTGGCGCGGCACGGGATCACGGGACACGGAGGGGTCACTGCGGAGGCGGAGGGGTCACTGCGGAGGCGGAGGGTTCATTGCGGAGGCGGAGGGGTCACTACGGAGGCGGAGGGTTCACAGCAGAGGCGAAGGGGTCACTACGGAGGAGGAGGGGTCACTACGGAGGCGGAGGGGTCACTACGGAGGCGGAGGGTTCACTGCGGAGGCGGAGGGGTCACTGCGGAGGCGGGGGGTTCACTGCGGAGGCGGAGGCTGGTGCTGTGCAGATCGATACCAGCCCCCGTGAAGGCCGGAGTCGTGATGTTGGTTGATGACATCGGTTATGCCAACGTGCCAAGACAACGTACAACGCCACAAGGCATTGCAGCCAGTCGCGTCATTACTGGGCGGGGGCGAGCAGTCCGACACCGCCACAAGGAAGAACCAGAGGAGTCCAGGGGTCTCTGCCCAGCCTAAGGCTTAGTTGCCGTTTGTGAGTGATCTCGTAATCCAGAATTCTTAAGTTCGAGTTTCAGGACGTGCGCTATCAGAAGCGGAGCCGGGGCTTTCTTAAGGGAGGTCGGAGCTCAGTGAGAACGCATCACGCGGGTTTAAAGGTTCTCTTGCGAGCGATCTATGGCGAAAAATGAAAAACGCGGGTCTAAGGAGGCATGGGGGGGGTCATTACACCCCCCCTCCCCCCCCGCCACTTGGCTGTACCTGAGGTGCACAATGCTTTACTAAGTCAGCATGTAAAGGTGTCCTCAGGCGGCAAAGTCTAAAAAACTACCACTCAGTACCCAAAAAAGGCAGTGGATGTAGGGAGAAAATAGCATCGCCCAACCACAGCCCGAGCAACAGAAACTGCAACGTATGCATGTGAAAAACGAAGTTACTGGCGGATCGAGCGCCGTCTTGGTGGCCCACTGCCCATGCTGGGGGAGGGTTCTGACCCCTCTAGCCAGGTTCTGCTCGCCATTTTGCCCCCTCAGCCGACCTCGGGTCATGGCTGCCTCGAGACGCCGCGACGTCGCCATCATCCGGGGGAGTCCTGGCACGCAGTATGTCAATTTTCGCTTATGAGTTACCCCGGCCTCCGCAGCCTGCGCAAAGCTTCAGGCAATGTTCGACGTGGTGTTCTTGATTGTCAGCGGTTTCATACTGTTTCATCTTTCTCTGGCAATGTCCGGAACGCAGCGGGTCGACGTTCAGGAAAACCTTGAGGTTATCTGATTTGATCTGATTTTGATTTTTATTTGTCTCTTCTTTGGATTTTGGACTGGCTCGGGCGAGGGTAGGTTTAGCCTCTTTTGCTTCCGCTCCCCCTCCCCTCCCCTTGGTTACGTCTCTGGTCTCCCCGATAGCGAACCAGCTAAGTATCTCAACATGTTCATACCGTGTGTGGTGACGCGGAACTGCGGCGCGGTTCTGCGGATCGAAATACGATATGTTTGTTTACGACAGGCCTGCCTGTTGAATAACAGCACCAGATGGCTACACTCCAAGGTTATACACCTATCGTCTGTTTAAACAGGCGTTTTTGGCGCGTGTCAAAAGCGCGCGTGTAGCCCCAGGCTGTAACCTCGCGTCGAAAACGTTTCCGATGCGCGTGACTTTTCTGAATTGGTCGTTCTTCTCGACGGTAATCGTCGCTCCACACATGTTGCGCTAACCTCTCCCGCCTTATCCTGCACAGCCATACTGGACATCCGTTCTGGAATTTTCTGTGTAGCTAAGGTAATTTAGGCTGACATCTGGATTTTATGACGTAAAAGACAACGAACAAGCTGTCTCTACTTCACAATTAAGCATCTCCTGGTTCACGTTACGCCTTTTAACCGGACTAAGAAGCTTTGGCACCACCTTAAGCTGTTTTAGTATTTATTGCATGTCAATTGCACTGCATGCGAAATTCTGGACATTTTCTGCGTTCCGACTTTCCTTTGTCTAATAAGTAGAGGGCGAATAATTTCCATGACAAATGACGTGATCAATTTGCAGGTAATGCTTTTAAATGGAGTGTTCCACATTTGTATGGGTCTTTGAACTGAAACAGCCATCTTGAAGCTCATTCGGTGCAGCTCACAGCCTGTCCTTCTTTAGACCTAAACCCCTCTAGTTTCTGAGCTACACGCCCGCGAAGATGTGCACACTTTTTTAGGGAGACTTTTCAAGGTCACTCAGGCATCCATGACGCCATAATCACGTCATTCAAGTTCTGACATGCCATCAACCAATGGCGATTAAAACAAAGAAAAAGATCATTCACGAATCGTTCATATCTGGTGTTCGTGAGCACTATTTCTAGGCAGACCGAACGTCAGTTGGCTCTTAAACAATGTTGTGCAAGGTACGATAACGCAATCAAACAATGACGTATTGAGGGGCATGTGCACTAAGCCGAGAAACTGCGTTATCTAGAGCAGCCTTTTCTACTTCAATGTATACCAATAGCTACAAGAGAAATGATATCATCATATCTGATATTTCCTTCAATATCTTCAAACGCGGAACACCTCCTTTAAATATATTTTTGGCGCGCGTCCGATGGTGTCCGACACGCGAAAAAGCCGTTGTAGACAGTCAACAAGCATTTGCACGCTTGCTTTGCTGCGCTAAGTCGAAGAAGCTGCACTTTTAGATTATTTATCTTTTGCAGTTTGATTTCCGGCTCTAGGTGTCTTGGTTGACGCGGTATCGCGGAACACGTAAAAGACGGTCGGAAATGGCCAAATTCATCTTGCTCGCTCGTGCACGCGTGACACACAGCTCGTGTGACATGGAGAATTATACCACGTGATTGCCCGTTCGATTCCCTATCAATGCATGCCACTCTTGAGTTGGTCCGCGCCCTGGGTACGGAGATGTGATACAACATCGATAAACCTGTCAAAAATGGCAAATTCATTTCTGGAGGACGTAAGTGTGACACGTTACCAGTGCGTACGCACACATAGAAACGCACGACCGTCTGTTAAATCCTTGTCGTAGCATGCCAGTCGCGTATCGTCACATGCCCTGAGTGCGGAGTCGTGGCGTGAAGCGTAAACACCGACGGAATGAGCAAAGAGCATCTTTACAGCTAGCGTGCACGTGAAACGTGACTCATGCGACCTCACGTCTTATATCACGCGATTGCACGTTAGATTGTTTATTGAAGCATGCCGTTCTCGAGTCTCTTCGTGCCCTGGGTGCTGAGCTGTCGCAAATAAGTTCAGAACCGTCGAAAATAGCAAGCTCAACGTGCGCTATGATACGTGTCACGTACGCCATGATACGTGACACGTACGCCATGATACGTGACACGTACGCCATGATACGTGACACGTACGCCATGATACGTGACACGTACGCCATGATACGTGACACGTACGCCATGATACGTGACACGTACGCCATGATACGTGACACGTACGCCATGATACGTGACACGTACGCCATGATACGTGACACGTACGCCATGATACGTGACACGTACGCCATGATATGTGACGCGACGCCAGCGTGTGACCGATGATTGTCACATATACCCGTTATAGCGTATATATCAACGGGCAATCATATATCATATATAGGATTGCCCGTTATATTCCTCATCAAAGCATGCCATTCCTGCGTCGCCCTAGACCATGGGTGCCAAAAATGAGACAAGAAACGTGAGCGGTCGTTGAAAACCGAAAATCCATCTTGCCCGCTCGTGTGATCGCTACACGTGACCCATGTGACCAAAACTCGATGCCATCCAATGGCCCATTCAATTCGCTATTGACACATGCCACACCCGAATCGCTTCGTAACTTACCGCCGAGATGCGGTGCGAATCTGGAAAATGGGCGTAGACTTTAAAATCCTGCATGTGACACATTGTGCGTGGCACCGAACCGTTCCGAAGGGCACACTTTTCCATTTGATACCGTATCGAAACGCGCTTCTCTCGGTTCGCTTCATGACGTGGGCGTTGCGCCGTCGAAAAAACGTGTGCAACCATCGAAAATAGCCAAATCTATAGTTCAACACGTAAGCGCCATGACACGTGAAACGTGTGACCAATAATTGCCCATCTTGCCCGCTCCTTTCCTTGTCAAAGTCTGCCACCCCCGAGTGCGTCCGTGTCCTGGGTGTCGAGATGTGGCACAGAACGCGTAGACCCGTGGAACAGAGCAAAGTTCATCTTCGTGCACGTGGCACGTAAGACGTGCGACCGCACCATTTGGCTCATTTTTCGTGCCACTCTCGGTTCGCTCCAACCTGTTGTTGTCGAGATATCGTTGCGAGATGGCGTAATCGGTCGGAGGCGTTGAAATACAGTGACATGTCACGTGTGTATCACATGTTAAGCTACCGGGAGACGGGTAGCACCGTTCGGTAGCGGCATAAAATAGCCGTTACGCAACCAATTACCCTAGGCTCATTTGCGAGCGGAATATTAAGAAATATTATATACAAAAGGGTGGTGAATAGGCAAAACGAATTGGCAAACAAGCTGACGTAGTTTTCAACACTGAATTATGAATAGTTTTGACGGTAGAGGCTTGTATTCAGCGCTGACTCTAAAATTGTGCCGCTCGCAACTTCTCTTGCAATTTGCAGCGCAACGGTGCGTTACAAAAACTCGGAATGCACGGTAAAATTGTGACTGCAGAAATTAACAATGTCAAGAAACAAAGTGCATGCCTGCATTCGCACTGGGTAATGAGATGTATCCCAAAAGGTAAAAGCCTGTCGTAAACGGTCCGTTTCATCTTTGCAAACAAGTGTGCACACGCCACGTGCATTGGGGCACCACACGCTTACCAGCATCCGATGGCTCATGCGATTGTCTATCTAGCAATGTAATTTTCATGTCGTTGCGACCCTTTGTTTTCAAGACATGGCTGCGGGAGTGCACGCGTGTCGGGCCGCCGGGCGGTGGTCGTGAAACTTGCGTCACTTATGATAAACTTTCAGGAATTTCGCAACATTTTGGCGCCCACCGCGCGCTTATTTTGCGAAATGCAGAATTATTTTTTGCACACAGGTGCACTCTGACAGCAGCCCTTCGTTGCGCGAAAATCTCACTAAAAAAGTCCTGACCACTTAGCCTGATCCTAAAGAATCGGTGGTGGACACACACACGTTGTTGCTTTAGTATAATAGCAGATTCAGAGCCCAGTATTTTGCAGCCGCCAGATCCACTTCCGAGATCAAAGATCTGCTCAGAGCGTAGCTCTACTCACCGGTGGCCGCCACCATCAGAGCCGCCATGGCGCCGTCGTGCTCGTGGGCTGACTGCTGCCGGAAGCCGCGTCAGCTCCCGTCCGGCGGTGGTTCCCGCCGACGCCGGCGCGTCTCGCAGGCCGGCCCCGACTGCAGGGCGCCCGCCACCGGGCGGGTTGAACCCCGGCCGCGCCCCCGGCCCGCGCGGCCGGCCGCAGCACCGCCACTTCGCGACAGGAGGCCGCGGCACCCGGCCGGACCGCAGCGGCGGCTGGGCTGCGCCGCGACCCCACTCGGCCGGCGCGGCTGCCCGTGGGCGCGTCCCACCTCGCGTAGAGATGCAAAGGGAGCGCCTCAGTCCGAGAAGAGGTGCAAGACTTCGGTAAGCCGCCATGCCGGATCCCTTTCGCATCGGTCCCGACCTCAGCACGCGTTGCACGAGCTGGTGCGTGCCGGTGCTCGAGCGGCGCCGAAGCCCGTTTGTGCGGGTTGAATGCAGGTGCGGGAGGATCCATTCCGTATCTTGAGGGGTGCTGCTCGTGGCTCGGGAGCCGTGGGCCTGGGGCAAATTCTAAGTGTGACGGCTCGCAAGGCATTTGAGCCCGAACATTCCGGACCGCGGGCATAGCAAATTATTCAAAAATTAAACGTTTTAGATCCCGGTAAGTACATCTTTGGTGGCTTGCCTCCCCGTCCCACTTAAACATGCTTTTTCACGCCCATGGTAACCGATGGCAGGTTTTTAGAGCTACTGCGCGTCGCCTGAACCGGTGCTGTCAGGCTTGGGCTGGACATGGGTTGCACAAAACCCCTGTTCGTGTAGTTTATTTCTGAATTACATTTATGGATTTCCCCCACAGCGAAGAAATATAAATGATGAGACCATGAGATTGTGCCGTGTCTAACCTGGTGTTGAAAAAAACTAGCAGGGGTTCACAAACTGTCACACACAAACACAAACAGCCACATCAAGTCCGAAGGTATTCACTTGATAAAGAAACCACCTAGCATATCTAACGAGACGAAATCTTTTCAAAGTAGCCGCGTGCATCCACTTTCACTAAACCATTGGCAACATTTGCTCATTTGAAAGGCCCACCGACGGCTGGAAGGACACCCACGGGCCTAACAGTTTTCTTTAAACAAACTGGAAGCAGCCATGTGCTGCGGGTTTATTCAAGCTGATTAGGCAGAAGCCTCGCATGCCAGGGTCACGGGCGTAGGAGTGAACACGCTCGCACGTGGTGTTCCATTAGCCATGTGTATAGCCGGCCGTTTGCAATCAACATGCACACTGGAAGCTAGCCGCGCCAAAGAACTCACTCGCTGCCAGCAAACTGATGTGGACATGGACAGCGGCTTTAGTTTTTCCTTGTTATCCAGTTTTGCGGCGCAGGGTGAGAGCAACTAAGACTTATCAGCAGACGTGGTCGGCCGTGAATGACAACACAACTTTGCACGAACTGGGGCCAACGGCGAGAGTAAAAACACGTTCCGTTGCATTCCAATCATTGCAACCATTACGGTGTTCTGGCGTCGCGCCGCGCGCTGCAGATGAACCCAACAGCAACAACAAACCCAACAGCACACCAGGACATCAGCACCGACGACCACGCCGTGACCACGCAGAACCGCTCTGAGCGCAGGACCGACCGGGTAGGCCGTGCCGTCATCGCCTACCCCTGCGCCAATTGGTTGGTTTCCGGTTCAGGTCGTGAGGGCACCTCGTGGGGCGTGGCCGGGGGGCGCTACAGACGCCGTCGGCCGACGCTGGCGGGTCCACGTGGAGTGGGATAGGTCGGGCGTGCGTGTCGTTGGAACTCACATTGGTAGGCAGCTGGGTCCAGGAATATTAGGATAATCTGGCATACTTATTATTTGTATTATATATAAGTAAGATATGCATGCATATGAGAAATGCCACTGAATTTCAACACGTTGGAAGACCTTTAATTAACACAGAGTGTACGGACAACTTATTGAGCAAGGGGTAAAGCAACCAGCGCCTTGTATATGTTTTCGGATGTGTTAGCTTTATAACCAAGTCGAGATGCGCTGCTCCTAATAAATAAGTCACCCCAGCCATAGCTGATGGTTGACAGCAAGCACGCTGCGCGCAACACAAGTGGTAAGCGCGACGCAAAATGGCCGCGCTGTCCGCGCTTACCAAGTCAAGGAGCCAAGTTACCAGGAGCTCCATATCTATACGGGGTTTTGAGCTGAAGAAGCCATCTTAAAGACCTTTCGGTGCTGTTAACAATGCTGCCCTTCTTAAAACCTGAGCCCCTCTAATTTCCGAGCTAGTCGCCCGAGAAAATGAAGAAAGGTAAAACGAGGGACGTATTTCAGTCACCTTGGCCTTCATGACATCATAATGACGTCACTAAAATCCTGCCACTTCATACGCCATGTAAAGATCAAGGTCAATAAAAATGTATTTGTAGAGGCGCTCATATCTGGGGTTATTGAGCGTGGTTTCCAGATACAACGGCTGTCAATTGGCTCTCCATCAGTATTATGCAAGGTTTGATGAGGTAATCAAACCATGGCGCATTGAGGAGCATATTTCATTATCAGAGAATTCTGTTGTCTAGAACAGTCTTTTCCACTTAAAAAATATACCAACAGTTATAAGTGAGCTTGTTTCACCGTATCTGACGCTTGCTTCAGTACCTTCAACTGTGAAACATTCCCTTTAAAACAAAAAAACCCGTATAGGCGCAATTTTTGTGTAGTGTAAGGGAAAACTTCCATGGTAGAGGTGATTCATGTCACTGCATGTACGTCAACAATCACCATAAAGAACACAATTGTGAATGAGACTGGGAGAAAGTGTATTCAAATCGAGTTTGGAAGAGCATGACAGTTGCATTCCTCACCCCAGGTGAGGATTAGCAGACTTTCGTAAGTGCGCGGATGGACACCGTCGAGAGAGTTTGATAGGACCAAGCTGCAGAAATAATCAAACGTTCTGCACTGACGCTTGCGTCGCGCTGCATAGCACTGCCCTCGAACGTCATCCATGAGTGAAAGATCGGCGGCGACGTCAGTTTCACGGGACTGCAGTGGCACCTGAGGTGGTGGCCGCAGCACTCTCAGACGGTGTTGTCATAGGGGCAGCTCCTCCCGCTCGGGGCACAGCAGCGCCTCCGAAAACCCGTCGGAACCACGATAATATGGCGGCCAAGATCTCCCTGATGCGCGATCCACCTCCAAAGAACAGCGCCTCGCTCTGCTTGGCATCCATGTCGTCGGCAATCTGCTGCATCAGCTCGCTGTCGGCGGCCATCCATGACGACGTGCTGGGGGACGTTTGCAGTAGACGACGTGCGCTCCAGCTGGAGACGGCCGCTCGGCCGCGGCAGCCGGGGAACTGCCGGTCAGAGCAGGGGTCAGCGAGGCACGCGCGAGGCTGGCAGAACCCTCTCGGCCACGGCAGCCGGGGAACTGCCGGTCAGAGCAGGGGTCAGCGAGGCACGCGCGAGGCTGGCAGAGCCCTCTCGGCCACGGCAGCCGGGGAACTGCCGCCCCGAGCAGTGGCCGGAGAAATAGCCCTCTCGGGCTGAATTTGACCAACCGTCGTCCGCCCATGTAGACATGGTGCACGCGTCCCGGCAGCAGGCGACTTCTGGTTAAACATCACACCCATTAACACAAGGTGGTGCGTCATTTACATGTCATGCCATTTCAGCTCATCTGTAATACGGTAAGAACACAAATTGGAAGAAACGTGGATGTATTTTAATCCATGATGTGTTTCCGATCTCCTCAACAACCAGCCTCAGAAAACAAAAATTGTAGTTATAACATCGTGCACAGCACGTTACGTTACAAAGCAGTAGATAAACTTCTTATCAATGGAAATAGTGGTTGAAATGCTGCCAAAAGGCTTATCTGAAATAAGTAAGGGACGTTCAGAGATTGTTGGGAGCATCCAACTGATTTGAGTTTTCCTTGCCAACTCCCTGGGTCTGCTTCCACTCTACTTCCACTTCAAAACGTTCCTCCACTCATGATGGCACGGCATTTCATTCAGTCATGTATTTCCGAATCACCGAACGTCTTCAGCACTGTTACGAGGCTTCGTCACTTTGCCATCTCGTGTGTCATCGGAGCGACCATGACATGAAGGTGGCAGCCTAAGCCAAATACCATTTGTGATCAACGTCTTCTCCCGCAATAAACCGCACTACAAAACAATGCAAAGATCTACAAGTCACCAGCGAGCAAAGCTGTTCAAAGCACCAACCCCGGATATATATCCCGACGAATCCTGGCTGTACTGTCTCTAAAGGACTCACCGTGAGCGGGTGGCTGGGAGCCCCAGCTTGTAACACCACAGCAGTGACTCACCTGGGCCGCCACCACCATCAGCAGCAGGGCGGCCAGCACGCTCAGAGGCAGCTTGGTCAGCTTCATCTCTGGGATGGCGAGGGCGCGGCTGGGTGCAATGTTCTCGCCGCCGACTGTGAGCCGGTTCTGGCCGCCGGCAGCGGCACCAGGTCATAGGTCGGGTATGCCCGCGCGCCCCGTCGCTCGTCACCCACCGACGCTATCGTTTCATCGCGGATGCACGCCGGTGATATGCAGGCAACATGGCGTTAGCAGTGTGCAACTATTCGTGGGAACCAGAGTGGGGATGGGACCCCGGGTACTGTCAGAGCGCATCACACGTCGCAGCCGAATCCAGTAAATGAGGTGCGTATAACTTATATGCTCAAAACATCGTGAAGTACCAAAAATTAAACATACGCACCCACACACCATCACCCGCATCCACACCCACACCCACACACATATGCAAAGACGCGTGCATAACGATGCACCCGTAAACTTGGATAGCAGTCCTCTTAACATACATTTGTTTTCGAATATGCCGGCGTAATATGCATTTGTTACTTTGTTTCGGTTTCCTTCAACACCTCGCACCGAGCTGCTCTCGTCATGAACAAACTCGAAAAGAACTTGTCCAAAAGCGATCATTATATCTCGACGTTTCGTCAAGTATATGACACTATCGGGGTACAACTTAACTTAAAATATGACACATGACATATGTGTTGCAGCGGATGTCCTGACGATGGTAGCTCGACGGTCATAATGATAAATCGAAATT